ATCAAAATTGTACTAAAATCATGATTTAAATTCAAAACGAAATCAATAATTAATCATTAAAAAAAATCTATAACAGTAAATAGGTTTATTATAATTGATAGGTGAATCATTAATAATGCAAAACATTTTTTATTATGAATTAAATTACAGATGAACACTTTCTCTCTTTTTCCTGCAGACGGCTCATTTCTTCGACCTGATGGACAAGATGGAGGTGAGGCTTTTATTCTGAAATCTGTTTCTGTTTTTAAGATTAAATATTTAAGAAACAGTACCTTAGTATAGAAAAGGAGAAAAAGCTGTAATATTTCTAGACTTTTTCTGATTTTCCGACTGAATCCCACCTACCTCACTAACGTGGATCAATCCGCCGCTGAAAATAGTCCCCACAGAAACACCTGTTCTCCTTGAGCTCCTGGAGGACCCAGAGTTTAACGTTTGTTTCTCTCTGACCAATCAGCAGCTTCCTGAAGCCGCCGAGACCAAGACGCTCCCTCAGAGACAGAAGGCACGTCCTTATGTCCATGCGTCTCATGTCCATGCGTCTTCATGTCCATGCGTCTTCATGTCCATGCATCTCATGTCCATGCGTCTTCGTGTCCATGCGTCTTCATGTCCATGCGTCTTCATGTCCATGCGTCTTCATGTCCATGCGTCTCATGTCCATGCGTCTTCATGTCCATGCGTCTTCATGTCCATGCGTCTTCATGTCCATGCGTCTCATGTCCATGCGTCTTCATGTCCATGCGTCTTCATGTCCATGCGTCTCATGTCCATGCGTCTTCATGTCCATGCGTCTTCATGTCCATGCGTCTTCATGTCCATGCGTCTTCATGTCCATGCGTCTCATGTCCATGCGTCTTCATGTCCATGCGTCTTCATGTCCATATGTCTTCATGTCCATGCGTCTTCATGTCCATGCGTCTTCATGTCCATGTGTCTTCATGTCCATGCGTCTCATGTCCATGCGTCCTCATGTCCATGCGTCTTCATGTCCATGCGTCTCATGTCCATGCGTCTTCATGTCCATGCGTCTCATGTCCATGCGTCTTCATGTCCATGCGTCTAATGTCCATGCGTCTTCATGTCCATGCGTCTAATGTCCATGCGTCTTCATGTCCATGCGTCTTCATGTCCATGCGTCTAATGTCCATGCGTCTTCATGTCCATGCGTCTTCATGTCCATGCGTCTTCATGTCCATGCGTCTCATGTCCATGCGTCTCATGTCCATGCGTCTCATGTCCATGTGTCTCATGTCCATGCGTCTTCATGTCCATGCGTCTTCATGTCCATGCGTCTTCATGTCCATGCGTCTCATGTCCATGCGTCTGATTTCCATGCGCCTCATGTCCATGCATCTGATTTCCATGCATCTTCATGTCCATGCGTCTCATGTCCATGCGTCTCATTTCCATGTGTCTCATGTTCATGCGTCTCATGCATCCGTCGTCATGTCCATGCGTCTCATGTCCATGCGTCTCATGTCCATGCGTCTCATTTCCATGCGTCTCATGTTCATGCGTCTCATGCATCCGTCGTCATGTCCATCTCACGCCTCCTTTGTTTACTTCCGGTACATAGTGACATCACTACGTAACACTCGCACTCCTATTGGCTAGCGCTTTAACACATTGATAGGCTAAAGGGGCGGGACATCTATAAGCGGTTGACCAATCACAACAGTGGAAGAAATGCTCTTTTTCTAAAGTGAAAGTAGGAACACCACAGTGTAGAAATATCCTGTTATCCAGTAAGTCTGGCATTTAAAAAAGAAAAGTACTAAAGTATTTGCATCAAATTATACTTTAAGTACCATCAGTAAAAGTACTTAAAGTTCTAAAGTGTAGAAATTATTAACTTCCTGTTTGTCTGAAGGTTGAAATCAGAAACATGTTTACATCTCGTTTAACACTTCAGTTTCCCTTCGGAGACATCATCACTCACCATCATCACTCACCATCATCACTCACCATCATTCACCTGTGTGTGTGTGTGTGTGTGTGTGTGTGTGTGTGTGTTTTGTAATGTGTGTAACAACTGTGTGTTTGTGTTTCAGGACGACTACATTCCTTATCCCCGGATCGAGGAGGTTAGACCTTTTAAAAACACAGAATTTAAAACCAGAATTTAAGCAAATGAAGCGCATGTTGGGTAATATCCCTGCTGTGCTACGATACGATTTGATAATACTTTAATGGTCAGATCAAGTCTGAAATTTCAAGACACAATACATGAAAAACAAACAACAAACATTTAACATAACAGCACAATCAGTGAGAGAAACATGCTCAAAGAGCCTAGTGACATGTGACATGACCTTTGAACTACTTATTTTGTATTTTATTGTATATGTTGCATTGCCATTTCTACACTTTAGTTTTGTGCATTGTGCAACCTGTGAATTTGAATTTAGCGTGCATTTGACCTGGGATTCAGCTCTGTGTTTACTTCTGTGTTTCCAGGTGTTGGAGAGGGGGGGGCCGTTCCCTCAGGTGATCCTACCTGAGTTCGGAGGTTACTGGATCGAGGAAATGGAGATCAGAGAGGGGGAGGAAGAGGAGGAAGAGGGGGGGGGAGCGGAGGAAGGAACAGCCCCAGTGCATTATGGGTATCGTCTGGAGGAGATCGGAGAGGCTGCTCGAGCGTACAGGAAGCTGTTTATGGGCCGGGTGAGGAGGGGTTACAGAATAACATTAATACAGTTTTAAATGATCTACGGAAGAGGGTTAGGGACACATGGGAACACATCTTTGGGGATTTGAGCAAAAGTACAAATGAAAAGGAGTTCAATCGCATGCTGAGCAAAAAGTCAGAAATCTCAGAAGTCAAAATACTGAGATTTAAGTCCGAATTCTCAGAAAAAAAAGGAAATCGGAGAAAAAGTCAGAATTCTGAAAAAAGTCAGAATTACGAAAAAAGTCAGAATTGCCGAAAAGTCAGAATTTTTACAAAAAGTCAGAATTTTGATAAAAAGTCAGACATTTTAGAAAAAGTCAGAATTACAGAAAAAGGGAAATATCTCATGAACTTCCCCACTCAGTCTATCAAGACCCGAGCAGTTGTGTAGAAGTCGGTCAAAGTAATCCCTAGCCATATGAACTTTGATCCTAGGAGATAGAGGACAGAGGTGGAGAGGCATTTTGAGAAAAAGTCGAAATAACGAAAAAAAATTACAGAAAAAGTCAAAATTACGAGAAAAAAAATTGAAGAAAAAGTCAGGATTCTATGAAAATGTCAAAATTACGGAAAACGCAGAATTCTGAGAAAAAGTAAGAATTTTGTGAAAAAAAGTCTGAATTTTGATAAAAAGTCAAAACAACGAAATAAATTACAGAAAGATTCAAATGTAAACATAACATTTTTTTTCAATCTCAGATCTGAAAACGTTCCACATGTGTCCCTGATCGTCTCCTGCTGTCGCTTTGTTTTTATTCCCAAACTCTCGTTTCTCGCTCAGGAGCATCTGAACTTCTCCTGCTCGGCCAGCAGCGTTGGAAGTCTGCTGCTGTCGGTGAGGCACGAGGAGGAGGAGCAGCAGGAGACCCTGCACGTCATCATACGGTACTCTCTTTAGTTATTCATTTATCATTATTTTACATTTTAAACATTTAAACTTAAAAAAATAAAAATTATGTTTTTATTTTCCCTCATTTTATTATTATTTTTCATTTTAATAAAACTTTTTTTTAAATATTTTATAACCATATTTTATTACCAGGTACAACTAGTTTATCATGTGATCATCCTGTGCAATCACAATTTAATTTAGATTGTGTAATCAGGTACTAACTTATTTACTTTTATTTATTTTGTATTTATATTTTAACATGCTCTCACTAGGTACCAACACAACTATTTACTATATTTATTTATTTAAATCAGCACTTCCTCCTCTTCCTCAGGTCTCGGATGAAGAGTGTTTACCACAGATTGTCTCTGTCGGAGCTGCCGGAGATCCCCAGCGTCCCGGAGCTCGCTAAGGTCTGACTCCTCCTCATGGTTTAGATACAGAGACGCTAAAGTACATCCTTTACTCAAGTAGAAGTACAGATACTCGTGTTTAAAAATACTCTGGTGAAAGTAGAAGTACTGACTAAACTTCTTTACTCAAGTAAAAGTAAAGAGGCTTTGAAATGTACTTAAAGGTCCCATGTCATGGCCATCTCTACTGATCATAGTTCCATTGTTGAGGTCTACTAGAATAGATTTATATTGTTCAATGTTCCAAACTCACATTGGTTTCTCATACAACATCTCTGTATAGTATGTGTATTCACTCTCTGTCCTAAACGGCTTGTTGGAGCTCCTGCCCCCCCCCCCCCCCTACGAGCCCAGTGACCGTCTGCGAGACAGCGAAACCCAGCCCGAAACCAGCCCGAACACACACACACACCCGCAGCCTGGCTGGGAGTTTGTGTGTGTGCTCACACACCGACTCACAGCCTCGCCGCATCCCGCCGTCTCAGGGAGGAGAAATCGGCGGAGCTGCAGCTGAGAAAAGATTGAGTGTGTGAGGAAGTCCGCGGATTGGTCCATTTGGACCAATCCACAGACTTAACGTAACGGCTCCGCGGACATAACGTAACGGCTCCATGGATTGGTCCATTTGGACCAATGGGCCCATTTGGGTATGGGCACGTCACTGTACCCAGGAAGAAAAAGAGAAATGTCCAACGAGGCGTTCTGGGGCAGCATAGACAGGTCTTCTCTGTGTTAGAGTTTTACTCCCTACAGGGTGTACTTTGAGGGTTTGTGACTCTGCAGACCGTTTACATGCAGAAGCTACAGAACACAAGGGGACGGGTAATAACCGGAAAAGCATGACATGGGACCTTTAAGTAAAAAGTACCCATAACTAGCAGCTGTTTTAAAGAGTACCTGACCTCCCTTTATATGAATAGAACAATAATGTCATTGTTAGCTAATGAATGTTTCCATGCTGAACAACGGCAACATGACAACGTTTTCATTGGTCCCTCTTCTTTAGAGAAGACCAGGAAATGATGGATACACGGATCGTGTTCAAATCAATAGGCACGCAATGACTCTAAATAATAATGATCACGCCACCAAACACACATTCAAACTAAAGGAACCAGCCTGTTTGGAAAATGTGAGAAGTAGAAAGTACAGGTATTTGTGTTCAACATGTAAGAAGTAGAAAGTACAGGTATTTGTGTTCAACATGTAAGAAGTAGAAAGTACAGGTATTTGTGTTCAAAATGTAAGAAGTAGAAAGTACAGGTATTTGGGTTCAAAATGTAAGAAGTAGAAAGTACAGGTATTTGTGTTCAACATGTAAGAAGTAGAAAGTACAGGTATTTGTGTTCAACATGTAACAAGTAGAAAGTACAGGTATTTGTGTTCAACATGTAAGAAGTAGAAAGTACAGGTATTTGGGTTCAACATGTAAGAAGTAGAAAGTACAGGTATTTGGGTTCAACATGTAAGAAGTAGAAAGTACAGGTATTTGAGTTCAACATGTAAGAAGTAGAAAGTACAGGTATTTGGGTTCAACATGTAAGAAGTAGAAAGTACAGGTATTTGGGTTCAAAATGTAAGAAGTAGAAAGTACAGGTATTTGGGTTCAATATGTAAGAAGTAGAAAGTACAGGTATTTGTGTTCAACATGTAAGAAGTAGAAAGTACAGGTATTTGTGTTCAACATGTAACAAGTAGAAAGTACAGGTATTTGTGTTCAACATGTAAGAAGTAGAAAGTACAGGTATTTGGGTTCAACATGTAAGAAGTAGAAAGTACAGGTATTTGGGTTCAACATGTAAGAAGTAGAAAGTACAGGTATTTGAGTTCAACATGTAAGAAGTAGAAAGTACAGGTATTTGGGTTCAACATGTAAGAAGTAGAAAGTACAGGTATTTGAGTTCAACATGTAAGAAGTAGAAAGTACAGGTATTTGGGTTCAACATGTAAGAAGTAGAAAGTACAGGTATTTGAGTTCAACATGTAAGAAGTAGAAAGTACAGGTATTTGGGTTCAACATGTAAGAAGTAGAAAGTGCAGGTATTTGTGTTCAAAATGTAAGAAGTAGAAAGTACAGGTATTTGGGTTCAACATGTAAGAAGTAGAAAGTACAGGTATTTGAGTTCAACATGTAAGAAGTAGAAAGTACAGGTATTTGTGTTCAAAATGTAAGAAGTCAAAGTAAAAAGTGGTCAGAAAAATAAGTAGTGGAGTAAAGTAAACAGAAACATGTACTTAAAGTAAAGAAGTATTTGTACTCCACTACTTCCCACCTCTGGGTAGATATCAGTAGTTGTGTGGAGCAGCTGATCGTCTCTGCGACTCTGTGCTGATGATGGTCTGTTCCTCTCTCAGCTGCTGTGTGAGGAAGCGGCCGCTCTGCGCTTCAGCCCCGTCCTCTACCCCAAGGTCAGGAAACATCTGTCACCTTCTGTGGATTTAAGCTTCGTACATTAAAGTTCAATCAAACAATTACATCTGAATCACGTAATAAGTGATGAGCTGGAGATGTGATTTTCTATCATTTCATTTAAAATGTTGTGTTCAGTTTGCACTAAAGTTCTTAAATGTGTGTGTGTGTGTGTGTGTGTGTGTGTGTGTGTGTGTGTGTGTGTGTGTGTGTGTGTGTGTGTGTGTGTGTGTGCAGGCCTCTCAGCTGATAGTAAACTTTGACGAACACGAGGTCAACAACACCTTCAAGTTTGGAATCATTTACCAGAGGTTAGGACAGGTGAGAGCTCTCTGTTTCTCTCACACTGTACATTTTACATGTATATTCCATTCCTTACACACGTAATGTATATATACTATACTATTCATTTTTCAACTTGTATATTTTCTACTTTTTTTACGCTATTTTTTTTCTATTTGAGATGTTTACATTTTGGATTGTTTATTTCGAGTCTTTTAATTTCTCTAACGGTCAATGTCTTGTGTTTTGATGCTGCAACACAAACATTTCCCACATTGGGATCAATAAATTACTTCTGATCTGATCTGTCATTAACCCTGCGTATGTGGGTGTGGAACCTCCTCTCCCTGCACACACAAACATTCAATCAGAGTATAATGTGTGTGTGTGTGTGTGTGTGTGTGTGTGTGTGTGTGTGTGTGTGTGTGTGTGTGTGTGTGTGTGTGTGTGTGTGTTCTTCAGGTGTCTGAGGAGGAGCTGTTCAGGAACAACGAGGAGACGCCGGCGTTCTCTGAGTTCTTGTCTCTGCTCGGAGACACCGTGGAGCTGCAGGACTTCAAGGGGTGAGACGTCCTGTTTTATAATAACACCTGAGAAAAGAAACATGTTTTATTGTGTTTTAAAAAGTGCAACACAGGAAACACTGCAGCGCTTTAGTACACTGCAGTTTAAGATATAATAAATAAGGATAAGCAAAAATACTTATTTTTTATTATCCTTATATATTTCTTTTTTTTTTAACCTACTATGCAACTAATTGTTTTAGATTGTTAATGTTCACAGCACCAGACACCAAAGCAGATTCCTTGTATGTGTGAACGAACCTGGCGATAAACCTGAAATAAAAAAGACAACGCTGAGGAACAGCCTGAGTGAAATGAATCAAGCTTTCCAATATTTAAATTCCTGGGTCTTCTCTCAGTGAAAAGTGGAACATCTAACAAAAATCATCGCATATCTGCAGAGGTGGGAAGTATTGGAGTACAAATACTTTGTTACTGTACTTAACCTGTTAAGCCCGAGAGACCCCGGTACCGGGGCACTGCCGCAACATCTTGCAGGAAACAGTGTCTGAGGGCATGTTCATTTAATAAACTATGAATGTTTTATATCCATGTAACGGGAAGAAACTCATCTAACTGATCATTTTTTTTTTTTTTCAAAAGAAAACCCACAATGCTAACACTGAGCCTCTGAATTAGCAACGAGCGAAATATGCTAACAGATTTACTACACCGAAAATCACTCACAAAATCTTATTATTTATCTTTTCACCACATCCAACACATCGATTCACTTCGTGAGGTGACACAGAATCTATTGACACCGACATTACCACTGAATTATACGTATTTGCGACGTTATAAGCAAAAACGGACATCAAAACAGGTGACGCTAGGTAGCTAAAAATGCTAACATTTTTACCTTGGCTCTGTAGTCTCTCCAAAGTGGTCTTCAATGGCATTAAAACGATAAAAACGCTGCTGAAGTTAATCCATAGGTTAATCTAATGTGTCTGTGTCCCTTTGAAATGATTTCTGATAATCCGTAAACATTAAAACTGCTTTTCCGTTTCCAGATGTCAAAGCTAGAGATAGGTTCACTCTGATTGAAAATTACATGCGCGAAGCCCCCACCTTTTCTCTTCACAATGAGTGTGTGTGGGGGACTCCGCCTTCGATTATATTGGCTCTAACGGTCAGAAAGAGGTGTCAACCATCAAAATCGAGCAAGGGGGGCCAGAGATATGGAAAATCCACCCAAATGACCCCAGAAGTGGTTTCTTCTTGCTAAATCTCTCTAAAAAGGTCAAATGTCACTTGTTTTGCATCAATCTTGATACAGGGTACTTATTATATGTTTTACTTTGGATTCCTAAAGCTTTTAGTCTACCTTACCATCATCCAAGGGTAGTTTTCACTATAAGTAAAAAAGAATTTTTGGACGGACACTATAATTTACAGTTTTTTACTATGTAAAATCTGAGTTTTCTTTAAAATAAAAAACATCTATATTGATTCTGACTTTTCTACATCCAACTCACAGGTTTATCATTACTTTGAGAAAAAAGATTATTAATTTAACCCTTTTAGAAGGGAAGATATGGTCATTTGTTCTGGGAATGGCATTTTCGAGCCTGAGACCTGAAAAACAGGCTCAGGGCTTAACAGGTTAAGTACATGTTTCTGGTATCAGTACTTTACTCCACTACTTATTTTTCTGATGACTTTTTACTTTCTACTTCTTACATTTTGAACACAAATACCTGTACTTTCTACTTCTTACATTTTGAACCCAAATACCTGTACTTTCTACTTCTTACATGTTGAACACAAATACCTGTACTTTCTACTTCTTACATTTTGAACACAAATACCTGTACTTTCTACTTCTTACATTTTGAACACAAATACCTGTACTTTCTACTTCTTACATGTTGAACTCAAATACCTGTACTTTCTACTTCTTACATGTTGAACACAAATACCTGTACCTTCTACTTCTTACATGTTGAACTCAAATACCTGTACTTTCTACTTCTTACATTTTCCAAACAGGCTGGTTCCTTTAGTTTGAATGTGTGTTTTGGTGGCGTGATCATTATTATTTAGAGTCATTGCGTGCCTATTGATTTGAACACGATCCGTGTATCCATCATTTCCTGGTCTTCTCTAAAGAAGAGGGACCAATGAAAACGTTGTCATGTTGCCGTTGTTCAGCATGGAAACATTCATTAGCTAACAATGACATTATTGTTCTATTAATATAAAGGGAGGTCAGGTACTCTTTAAAACAGCTGCTAGTTATGGGTACTTTTTACTTAAGTACATTTCAAAGCCCATACTTCTTTACTTTTACTTGAGTAAAGAAGTTTAGTCAGTACTTCTACTTTCACCAGAGTATTTTTAAACACAAGTATCTGTACTTCTACTTGAGTAAAGGATGTGTGTACTTAGCGTCTATGCGTGTGTCCTGCAGGTTTCGGGGGGGTCTGGACGTGTCTCACGGACAGACGGGGTCTCAGTCGGTCTACAGCGTCCACAGAGAGCAGGAGATCATGTTCCACGTCTCCACCAAGCTGCCGTTCATCGAGGGCGACGCTCAGCAGGTAGCGGCTGCTACGTGGCGTTTAGTTACGAGCAGTGTTGGGACGGTTACTTTTAAAATGTAATAGGTTACAGATTACTAAGTACTAGGAGTGGGGAAATAATCGGTACAGCATAGTATCGCGATACTTTGCGTGGCGATATTGTATCGATACACGGACGCCAAGTATCGATATTTTATTATATAAACTATTTTTTTTTTTAATATAAACTGTAGCATATCCCTCCGAAAGATAGTCGTATATAAAACAGGAAGTTAAGACATGAATACAATTGCAATGAAAGCAACAAAAACAATGCCATCTCCTTTTCAGGTTCAAAGAACACACATTGGGTTATTTACATAAACTATTCATATTGCAAATACATGTGTTAACCAGGAAGGGAAGACGCACATGGACATGACCCATGTGATCTGCAATATCGCAATATATCGTATCGCAATACTTAGCATATCGTAGAATCGCAATACTATTGTGTCGTGGCTTAAGTATCGTGATAGTATGGTATATTGGGGAGCCCGGTGATTCCCACCCCTACTAGTTACCCTGTTAAAAATGTAATAAATAATGTAACTTTTTGATTACTTCATTCATGTAATGTAACTTATTACCAAGCAATAAAGCTGAAAAGTCCTAAACAATTCTCAACACTGATTTCTGTCAAACCTTTATTAAAAGTTCTTCAATATAACTTGGATTAAGATTGGAATGTTTTGATTTACAATCTACAATGAAGTGCAATGACCAATCAGAAGTATGCAGATCACAAAAAACACACACTGACTGAAGTGAAGGAACATCTGACCATAACCTCAAACCCAGTCACACTCAGGTCAACTCACTGCCAAGTGGTGACAGAACTATACATATTTTGAACTGTCATTAAATTACAACTTTTTTCTTAGGAACTGTAACGGATTACAATTACGTTTATTTTCTAATTTAATTACCTAACGGCGTTACATGAAGCTAGTTACTCCCTGGTTACGAGACATCCCGTGTGGTTAGTGAGCTCCTCTGTGTCCTCTGTGTCCTCCTGCAGCTGCAGAGGAAACGCCACATCGGGAACGACATCGTGGCGCTGGTGTTTCAGGAGGACGCCACGCCGTTCGTCCCCGACATGATCGCCTCCAACTTCCTGCACGCCTTCATCCTGGTGCAGCCTGAAGGAGATAATGACTCCTACAAGGTGAGGACAGAACCTCCTACAAGGTGAGGACAGAACCTCCTACAATCTCTGTCGTTTCCTATTGTTTTGTGTTATTCAAAGGTCTCCTATTATACTATTTGTAGGCATATATTATAGGTCTCAGATATATAAAAATATATAAAAACATGTCTCTGAAGTGTCCTGCTCCAAACCCCAAACAGATCATTGTAGCCCCCCCCCCCCCCCCCCCCCCCCCCTCTCTTCCAGCTGTTACTTAGGACATGTCTCTGAAGTGTCCTGCTCCAAACCCCAAACAGATCCTTGTAGCCCCCCCCCCCCTCTCTTCCAGCTGTTACTAAAGAGCTGACTCTGGGTCTGTAGCGTTAGAGAGAGAGTAGATCTCATCAGGAGAACTCTCCCAGCAGAAACTCAGCTAAATGCAGCCGTGATGAAACTCCATATCATGTTCCAAACCACATCAAGGATTCTCTCTGAAACAGTATGGAGCTCAAACTCTTTCTCTCTCTCAGGTTTACCACAAGGTGACTTCCTTTTGATTTCCTGCTTCTTCACACATGCTCTCTCCGGTACAGGTTAGCTCTGAGTGTTAGCATGCTAATGTAAACACAGACCATATTACTTCCAGAACACGTCTCATTGTTTCTGACAGCAACGTTTCTGATTGGCCCGTGGGTGTAAAGCCCGCCGGGCCATGACGCAGCAAATCTGGATCAGCTCCGTTGTTCCCCCCTCTCCCCGCTCCCCCGTTTTAGAGATGTGGGTACGGAGGAAAAGAGAGAGGGGTTTATTTCCTGACACTTTGAGAGTCTCCTGACACACCGGGGACACACCGGGGACACACCGGGGACACACCGGGGACACATGGTGATGTAGAGAAGACATCACTTTGTGAGTCTCCTGACACACCGAGGACACATACAGGGGCGGACTGGGACTAAAAATCAGCCCGGGAAACTCGACCGGCCCAACTCGGTACCGCTAGTCAATTGTCAACGGGGGGGGGGGGCTAGTGAATTGTCCGACCGGCCCACTTCGGCACCAAACTCCCGGTATTCCCAATGGCCAGTCCGCCCCTGGACACATATTTATGTAGAGAAGACATCAAAAAGTGACTTTTGCATGATAGGAGAATTTGGAGCTGACGTGTCACTAAATCATGTTTTATTTCTGCTTGTTGTGATTGACAGGTGTCCGTCACGGCCCGAGAAGACGTTCCTCCGTTCGGCCCGCCCCTCCCGAGTCCAGCTGTTTTTAAGAAGGTGAGAGGAAGAGGTCGTTTGACTCTGACTATAAATATATATATATATTTATATCATGTTATAACACACAGTGAACCTGGTGCTGTGTTCAGGGTCCGGAGTTCAGAGAGTTCCTGCTCACCAAACTCATCAACGCAGAGCTGGCCTGCTACAAGAGCGAGCGATTCGCCCGACTTGAGGTACACACACACACACACACACACACACACACACACACACACACACACACACACACACACACACACACACACACACACACACACACACACACACACACACACACACAACACACACACACACACACACACACAACACACACACACACACCAGAGTTCTCGTTAGAAATATTTTTTTGCCGGTCAACATGTCCGTTAAAGTTTAAATCTTCCGGACAAAATGAGAAAAGTGCCGGTCAAAGGTCTTCTTTGTTATTTATTGAGCTTTAAAACAAATTGATATGATTCGATATTAAACAAACTAATTATAGTAGATTAACTACATTATTCAAAAGTGTACAGTAATTTATAATAACGCGGGAATAATAAACGGAGCGCTCTCTCATGCAGCTCGCGGATCCAGTAATGAGTGACCCGACAGTAAAACTAAACATATCTATAACTAGTTTAGGTAGTTTGAGAGGTAATTAAAATAGCTACGTGTGATTTTCTAACCTGAAGTGTGTGTTTTGCTCTGCTCGCCGCTGCAGGTGATCATGCAGAGCTGCGTGTCGACTCGTCAGCAGCAGCTGGTCTCTCCCGTCAGATTAGACTTTACTCGCGTTCATGTCCATATCGATCAGATCTAGCTAGTTCTAGCTAATGATATGACTACCTGCTTATTAAAAGACACCTAAACAATAAGCGTCGCTATGCAACCGGGAGAGGCCGCAAAGTATAGCGCAGCATTATGCATTTGTTTACATGCCCACCGGAACCCAGAGGCATTACCAACAGATCAACGCACAATCAACCCATACAGGACATCTCTTTCTCCACATTAAGTGTTAGACATTAGAATTGACTATTCTTGTCTGTCACATACTCTTCTTGTCTGTCACATACTCTTCTTGTCTGTCACATAAGTGGCGCAACTGATGCGGTATTGCGCAAAGGGGAAATAATTTTGACCGGACATTTTGACCGGAGAGATTTAGATTTGCCGGTCTTCAGCATATTTTACAGGTCATAGTCCGGTAATTACCGGCTAACGGGAACTCTGACACACACATGACTTTCTGCAGGAATACACTCGTGGAAATACTGGAGAAGCTGCTGACTTCACACTGGAATAAGAAGAACAGCTCAGAAAAAGTAGTTCAAACTAAGTTGTTTAAAATGGTGTGTGTGTGTGTGTGTGTGTGTGTGTGTGTGTGTGTGTGTGTGTGTGTGTGTGTGTGTGTGTGTGTGTGTGTGTGTGTGTGTGTAGGAGCGTACGCGCACCGCCCTGCTGGACAGCCTCCTGGAGGATCTGAACCGGCGCTCCCAGTGCATGCTGGGATTGGGTTCAGGTCTGGAGGAGGAGGGGCGATCTGAGAACGGACACACACACGGAGGCCTGCTGGAGTCCATCAAGGTGTGTGTGTAGGGGGGGTGTGTGTGTGTGTGTGTGTCTGTGTGTGTGTGTGTGTGTGTGTGTGTGTGTTATATAATAATAATAATAATAATCCAGCAGCATTACAGGATTTATTTGAACCGTAATGTTGTTTTTCCCCTTCTATTGTATTCTATTCTACTAATTAAATTAAATATTAATACAGACAATTAATAAAACAGAGTCGAAATCTAAAATTAGTAGAAACTATTCATCCCTTTTCCGAGTTTTTGGTCAGGGACCCATATTAAATGCAAATGTAGGAATTCAGACTTTTTTCCCCACAATTCTGACTTTCTGTAATATAATAAATAATATGATATATCGCCTCTCTCTCCTCCCACCAGAGGGCGATGCGAGGGCGGAGTGTCTCCATGGAAACAATGGCGAGGGGGGGGGCTGGTCTGCCCACCAGCCTGAGTGGGGGTGGGCTGGCCGAGGTGAGAAAATAACAAAATAAATATTCTGTCCAGTTTCGGTTTTATGGTTTGTGGTGGAAATTTACTGAGACTTTTTTCTCAAAATCTCTAAATTTTACAAAACGTTACTTTTGGCTCAAAATCTCAAAATTCGGACTATTTTTCTAAATTCTGACTTTTTTCTCAAAATCTGGTGATTTCTGAAGAGTTGAGGTGTCTGAAAAACGATGGTTGTTACCAAGTGGCTGAATAGGACTACAGAAGTCGTGGAGGTCATTACACCCAACACGTAAACACTCCTCTAAGTTAGTTAGCCCTGTTCTGCTTGAAAGCAAGTACCTGCCTCCTGCAGACTGTTCAAACAAACGCTTCAACTCGTACCATTTAGAATCTGTATGTTTGAATATGGATCTGAAGTTGGCGTGACGTTGAAGTCGTGCTGCTGTACTCGGCTGTAGTTCCTTTATAGCATCACGTTAGCATTTAGCTTCTGGACATTAGAGTTATGATTAGAACATTATAAAAGTAGGGTAGACATGTGGAGATTATCCAGCTGAACAAAACGTGCATTTATCAAACAGGTTCGTTTTCCACAGACCTTATTTCCAGCTATTTTCCAAAATCCTCTGGAGAAATCCCGTTGCTTTTAGTGGAGGGAACAGCAGCTTCCTTCAGGGTAAATACGTCCTCCCTGCACCGCTCTATTAACCTTACAACAGTAAATAGCTCTAAACCCATGTACGACTCATTTAGGTTATTTGCTGCTACCTGTTAGAACTATCTTGAAAAAGAAGAACAGATGGTGAACTCTAAATGCGCCGTCAGTGTGATACAATTCTCCACTCCAGGTTATTTTGATGTTTCTTTCTCTTTTGCACGATGTGATGTAATAACTTCCCTGTGTGTGTGTGTGTGTGTGTGTGTGTGTGTGTGTGTGTGTGTGTGTGTGTGTGTGTGTGTGTGTGTGTGTGCGTGTGTGTGTGTGTGTGTGCGTGTGTGTGTGTGTGCGTGTGCGTGTGCGTGTGCGTGTGTGTGTGTCTGTGTGTCAGTGTAATGTGAAGTCTCCGGTGAAGAGGCGTTCAGGACTCTTCCCTCGTCTGCTGAGCATTGACAGCCAGACAGAGAGACACAACCAGAGGAGGTTTGTTTTCTACACTTAAACATGTCAATCGTCAGAAGAGATGGCAAAAGTACACACATCCTTTACTCAAGTAGAAGTACAGATACTCGTGTTTAAAAATACTCTGGTAAAAGTAGAAGTACTGACTAAACTGGGAAACGTCCTCCTTTTGGAGTTAACATGAAAATTCTCCCGCACTTGTAGAAATGTCCTCTCAATTGCATTGAGACGTCCACTTCATATACACATTTTGACCAAATCTCCAGCCAATGGCAGGAGTGTCATGAAAGTGACACAAAATGCAATATTTACATTTTCCAGCAGGGGGAGCTCTAAGACCGTGTAATATCTTTGCTGTACTTGGGAAAAATAAAAATAAAGTGTATTTATGATGAAACGCGCTTTAAACGGGTAAACAAGTGTTTCTGACCCCCAAACATTGTGGGTGTGCTACAGCTGGTACCACCTGTCACTATACCAAGTTTGTAATCCCTGCGATGTTTTTTAAATATTTGACATTGTCCAAATGTCTCAATTTTCACACCAATACATCATATGCTGGCCTATATATCACCGTTCAAATATAAGCTCCCTCTGTCAATGCATTGTGGAAATATGAGCATGTCCATTTAAAGGAATTTATTTTGCATTGAAACCGTCCCTGAAGTGTACAACATTGTACACTTCAGGGACGGTTTCAATGTTAAATAAGTTCCTCCAATTGGACATGCTAAAACACTCGTCCAGACGTTGCTCTATTGAAGCCTTGTTCATGTCCAATTGATGCACTTTATTTAGTATTGTATATTTCAGACATATACAATACACTTATTCCGACATGTGAAACACTATTTCTTCCTTGTAAAGTGCTTTATTGTAGCCTGCCTTTTTCATGTCCAATTGATGTACTTTATTTAGTATTGTATATGTCTCTGTATTGTACAGTATAGTACAATACATGTACATATACAACACACTTATTCCGACATGTGAAACACTATTTCTTCCTTGTCAAGTGCTGTGATGTGCCCTGGAAGTATCAGACTATTTAAACAATGTTTACCCCATGATTCAAACACTGTTCTCAACCATATTTTAGACTGTCCATTTGATGGAATTCAATTTGTATTGAAATGTCCATGCATTGTACAATATCGTACACTACGCGGATAAATGGGTTATATAGTGAATTCCATCAATTGGACACTCTTCCGCCATCTGGTGGACCTTTAATGAATTTCAGAAGAAATTCCAAAACTTTAATATTTTCTATCTCAGAGGGGAAAGCTCGTCTAACCCCCGTTTCTTTCCCATGTGGAAGCCCCTGGCGGTGCCTATGCGTGGAGTTCCCCGGCTTATTTTAGGTGCACTCTGGGGCAAAGATAAGGGTCTACTTAAGTAAAAAGTACCCATAACTACCAGCTGCTTTAAAGAGTACCTGACCTCCCTTTATATTAATAGAACAATAATGTAATTGTTAGCTAATGAATGTTTCCATGCTGAACAACAGGAATATATGCTGATACCAGGAAAATGTACTTAAGTACCAGGGACGCGGGAAGTCAGTCAGAGTTGGGGGTGCTACTCTGGAGCCTCGCAGCGGAGAAACTGTGACGCGCTGGGGGGGGGTACTAGTGGAGCCTCGCAGCGGAGAAACTGTGATGCGCTGGGGGGGGGGGTACTAGTGGAGCCTCGCAGTGGCGAAACTGTGGTGCGCTTATACTGTAGGTGCGCCGCGTTTGGGGGTGCGGGGGGGTTGCGGGTGCTAGCGGAGCCTCACAGATGGGGGTGCTGCAGCCCCCTCAGCACCCCCCCTTCCCGCGTCCATGTTAAGTGCAGCAACAAAGTATTTGTACTCCACTACTCAGAAGGTGTATATACATATCCTCTCTATATCTCTCAGTCTCCTCAGTGAGCAGAGGAGCTTCGACAGCTGCCACTCTCAGGAGGTGAGAGAGCTGCCGTCCAATCCCAGCTCTCCGGAGGCGGGGCCACGGGACAGGTGAGGGAGTAACAGGAAGTCTGTGATTTATTACCTCAGATTGTATAGAAGTCTATGAGAAAATGTTCCAGACAGAAACAGGATGTGTTTTCAGGGTTCATGTGAAGAAGGAGAGGATCTCCAGATCAACCTCCAGCAGCTGCAGCTTCAGCTCTGCAGAGGACACACACCTGGTGAGAAGCACACACACACACACACACACACACACACACACACACACACACACACACACACACACACACACACACACACACACACACACACACACACACACATAATCTAAGAAGTATCATGATTAATAAAAGTGTAAACATGTATTATAATGTTCACATTTCCCTGCTGTGTCCTCTCTCTTCCTGTCAGACTGCAGAAGGTCAGACTCCTGTCATCGTCTGCCGCAGCCCCACAGGTTCATTTCATTTATAAATACTTGATGCCCTGTGTAAAGCTTTTAAAGTTAGTAAAAACTTCTTTATTTCTGTATTTATTTTACTTTCAGAGCTGAAGAACAGAAACTCTCCGCGATCCAACCTGAAGTTTCGTTTTGACCGACTGAGTCACTCTGCTGCGGTACGTCTTCATCTGATCAGATATATTTATTCATAATAATAATAATAATAATACAAACCAACAGCTTGTGGGTAGTAGTATTATCCACAGACATCATTTCATATTTTAATAATAATTCTGTTTCTGTTTCCTGTGTTTAATGCAGGGAAACTGACCTGAGAGCAGCAGGAGGTAAATATTATCTGATCCTCAATAGAGAGGTGAAGTCCCCCCCATCTACTTCCGGTCCATGGGACCTTATTTCGGAAAAATGATGTATTGAAGTCAATGGGGAGAGAAAGATTATCTTTCGATCCCGTTTGAATTGTGCCATGAATTACACATATGATGTTTGTCAATTTAAAAAATCATTTCCATGTCAAAAAAAGTCACAGTTTGTCGTAAAACTGTTGAAATATAAGACTATGAAAAATACGCAACTAGAAAGACTACAAATCCCAGAGTCGCGTAAGTGAGCACGTTAGTTAGCATTACAGCCTTAGCCTTGTCATTTTTATTAGCCTTAACATGAAGTAACATGAAGTAACCCAAAATGTTAAACAGTAAGAGTAGTAGTCATATTTCGTGAACCCTTTGAAGAGTACTGTCACACCAGTGTGATCATTCTATAATACACCGTTTAATCCCGGATGCCCCAGGGGGAGACATGCTAACGCTAACGCTACATTGGCATCGGCGATCTTTTCTACTTCATGCTATCTGCACAAACGGTTAACATTGAACATTAAAAAGATCAGGCAGTTCAGGGAGAGTCGAAGGAAGGCAGGCAGGCAGCTTAGCATGACATTCTTCTGGACGTGTTTCATTGTGGTGATAGTGAGGGTGAGAGGGTGATAGTGAGGGTGAGAGGGTGATAGTGAGGGTGACACTTCCTCCTCCAGCACCTGGACACACCAGGAAACTACCACGCCAGGATCCTGTTTGTGGACTTCAGCTCCGCCTTCAACACCATCATCTCGGCTCTGCTGCAGGACAAGCTCTCCCAGCTGCACGTGCCTGACTCCACCTGCAGGTGGATCACAGACTTCCTGTCTGACAGGAAGCAGCACGTGAGGCTGGGGAAACACGTCTCTGACCCCCAGACCATCAGCACCAGTTCCCCTCAAGGCTGCGTCCTTTCACCCCTGCTCTTCTCCCTGTACACCAACAGCTGCACCTCCAGTCACCAGTCTGTCAAGCTCCTGAAGTTCAGACGACACCACCCTCATCGGACTCATCTCTGGTGGGGACGAGTCTGCCTACAGGTGGGAGATGGACCATCTGGTGACCTGGTGTGGGGAAAACCACCTGGAGCTCAACGCCCTAAAAACAGTGGAGATGGTTGTGGACCTCTGCTCCCTCATCAAAAAAGCACAGCAGAGGATGTTCTTCCTGAGGCAGCTGAAGAAATTCAACCTGCCAAAGACGATGATGGTGAACTTCTACACCTCCATCATCGAGTCCATCCTCACCTCCTCCATCACCATCTGGTACGCCGCAGCCACAGCCAAGGATAAGGGCAGGTTGCAGCGGGTCATCCGCTCTGCAGAGAGGGTGACCGGCTGAAATCTGCCATCCCTCCACGACCTGCACGCCTCCAGGACCCTGAGGCGGGCAGGGAAGATAGTGTCCGACCCCTCCCACCCTGGACACAAACTGTTCACCCCCCTCCCCTCTGGCAGGAGGCTGTGCTCCATCAGGACCAAAACTTCTCGCCACCTGAACAGTTTCTTCCCCTCCGCTACCGGCCTCTTAAACAAGGCCCGGCCCCCCCGCTGTCACTTTACCTCTGCCACATTATCATAGACTATATGCATTACATTAATGCACACAATGTCATAGTCCTTTCTGCACATATTCTGATTTCACATTTCATAGTTTATATGCAAAAATTCATTCATAGCATTCTATTTCCATGTAAATTACTGCTTTATTTTATTTTTATTTTATTGCTATTTAACTGTATTTTATTACGGTGTAAAAGATTTTGTGTTTTATATCAGATTTCTTGTTTTTTATATTTTATGTATGCACCATGACATCAAGTCAAATTCCTAGTATGTGCGAACCTACCTGGCAATAAACCTGTTTCTGATTCTGAGAGGGTGAGAGGGTGATAGTGAGGGTCAGGGTGAGGGTCAGGGTGAGGGTGAGGGTGATAGTGAGGGTGATAGTCAGGGTGAGGGTCAGGGTGAGGGTCAGGGTGATAGTGAGGGTGATAGTCAGGGTGAGGGTCAGGGTGAGGGTGATAGTGAGGGTGATAGTGAGGGTGATAGTGAGGGTGATAGTCAGGGTGAGGGTGAGGGTGATAGTCAGGGTGAGGGTCAGGGTGAGGGTGATAGTGAGGGTGATAGTCAGGGTGAGGGTGATAGTGAGGGTCAGGGTGAGGGTCAGGGTGAGGGTGATAGTGAGGGTCAGGGTGAGGGTCAGGTTGAGGGTCAGGGTGAGGGTGATAGTGAGGGTGAGGGTGAGGGTCAGGGTGAGGGTGATAGTGAGGGTCAGGGTGAGGGTCAGGGTGAGGGTGATAGTGAGGGTCAGGGTGAGGGTCAGGGTGAGGGTGATAGTGAGGGTCAGGGTGAGGGTGATAGTGAGGGTAGTCAATCCCTTGTTTGGCAAGACAGTAGTGACGGCCATCTTGGTGACGTGTGTTGTTGTGCGAGACCAGAGATGTAGTTCATTGAGCGGTTTCACACAAAATGTGTTACTTCATAGTTTTACGGCAAAAACATTTTTTTTTTACTTGCAAAATTATCTTTTAAATTGACAAACATCATATGTGTAATTCGTGGCACAATTCAAACGGGATCGAAAGATGATCTTTCTCTCTCCATTGACTTCAATACATAATTTTTCCGAAATCAGGTCCCATGGAGCTCAATCGGAAGGGGAGGGACTTTGCCTCTCTATAGAGTGGCGAAGTCTCGCCCATCTACTTCCGCCCCATGGGACCTTATTTCGGAAAAATAATGTATTGAAGTCAATGGGGAGAGAAAACTTATCTTTCAATCCCGTTTGAATTGTGCCATGAATTACACATATGATGTTTGTCCATCTTAAAAAATAATTTCCATGTCAAAAAAGTCACAGTTTGTCGTAAAACTGTTAAATATAAGACTATGAAAAATACGCAACTAGAAAGACTACAAATGAGTCGCGTAAGTGATGTCACAATTGTTTTCCACTAAGAGATACCTAAGATCAGCGCAATATAGATAGAATCTATCTATATGGCGCTGGCTAAGATAAGATAACTTTAACAAGATGCCTGTGTGCTTAGTACCAGGTTGTTATTATACCAGCAATGGGTCTTGCTCGTTCTTTCGCTTCCCGTCTGATGAAAGGACCAGGAGTGGCTTGATCAAGTTAGCTACCTAGCTAGTAGCTAGCACGCTAGTTAGCATTACAGCCTTGTCATTTTTATTAGCCTTAACATGAAGTAACATTAAGTAACCCAAAATGTTAAACAGTAAGAGTAGTAGTCATATTTCGTGAACCCTTTGAATAGTACTGTCACCGGTGTGATCATTCTATAATACACCATTTAAGCCCGGGGGAGAAATGCTAACGCTAACGCTAGCATCGACGATCTTCTCTACTTCATGCTATCTGCACAAATGGTTGACATTAAACATTAAAACGACCAGGCAGTTCAGAGAGAATCAAAGGAAGGCAGGCAGGCAGCTTTGCATGACTTTCTTCAGGACGTGTTTCATTGTGGTGATAGTGAGGGTAGTCAATCGTTTTGTTGACAAGACAGTAGTGACGGCCATCTTGGTGACGTGTGTTGTTGACCAGAGATGTAGTTCATTGAGCGTTTCACACAAACAAAAGTGTTACTTCACAGTTTTACGACACATTTTTTTTTTTTTGACTTGCAAAATTATCTTTTAAATTGACAAACATTATATGTGTAATTCGTGGCACAATTCAAACGGGATCGAAAGATAATCTTTCTCTCTCCATTGACTTCAATACATAATTTTTCCGAAATCAGGTCCCATGGAGGTCCACCGGAAGGGGAGGGACTTCGCCACTCTATCGTTCACTTCCATCGCTACATAACACTCACTCCTATTGGCTAAGGGGCAGGACTTCTCTAAGCCGGTGGACCAATCACAACAGAGCTGGGGATTCTCCATTTATCATGTATTTAATTTAAAATGTAAAGATGTTTTATTTTTTTCTTCTTCATTTCTCTTTTTGCAGACTAACAGCCGGAGGAGGACATTAATGTGAAGACACACACACACACACACGCACGCACGCACACGCACACGCACACACATACACACAGGATTGTTGTTCCTGCAAAAACATGCAAAAAAACTATTATTTAATTTGTATTTTCCTGATGTCCGCTCGGTGGATTTAACCTCTGTGTCTCACTTTAAAAAGAGGCTCTGATTTCCTTAAATTACTGTATATATTGTATTTTATGAATCACGTCCCACTCTTTCTAATAACTGCAGAATAATCATTTATTTTCAGACTTTTTTATTTAAAATATATATGCACACATTTTGACTCTCCTTATTTCAGGAGCACTCACTGAATGTGCATGATGCATTAAAGTGAGGCACGGGGGCTAAATAGGTTTTATTTGGTAATGGAGTATTTCTACATTGTAGTATTAGTACTTTTATTAAAGTAAAGGATCTTCCACCGCTGATATTCACACGGTCAGTTCATTTTTTTAGAAAGGGATCAGAAAACTAACAAAAACTGTTTTAAATTCACTGTAAATCATTTTGTTTCTTCTCGTAATTGCTCGTATACTAACTGCAGTACTGCGTAGTACTGTGCAGTATTAGTATCTTTAACTGTCTGAATGTTAAACGCTGAAGATGTCGTATTAATCGGAGCAGGAGGCCGTCGTTCACTTAGTTTACTCACCAATAAATATTAACACTTTACACACACAGGTTATTTAAGTGACTTCAGTACTTAGTGTAAAGTAACTAAGTAATCAAGTAATGTACTTAAGTGCATATTAGAGGTACTTTACTTGAGTATTTCCATGTTATGCTACTGTGTACTTTTCCTCCACTACATGTATTTAATCCCTTTATTTACTTCACAGATGTGGATGAATGATGTGAAATATAATCAAGTGTTAAATCAGACTTTAGTTCCACCTGGAGTAAATTCACAAGCTACCCTGCAGTATACAAAGTCATTCAAACTAGCTGCACCTTTACCAGCTTTGAGAACACTTTAATGATCAATCATTATAAAACATATCATATATATTATTCTGAAATGGACCAATCTGCACAATGAATACTTTCACTGTCGCTACTTTCACTATATTTTGATGATAATACTTTTCTACTTTTACTTGAGGAACATTTTGAATGCAGTACTTTTACTGTAACAGAGTATTCCTACACTCTGGTACTTCTACTTTTACTCAAGTACAAGATCTGAGTACTTCTACTTTTACTCAAGTACAAGATCTGAGTACTTCTACTTTTACTCAAGTACAAGATCTGAGTACTTCTACATTTACTCAAGTACAAGATCTGAGTACTTCTACTTTTACTCAAGTACAAGATCTGAGTACTTCTACTTTTACTCAAGTACAAGATCTGAGTACTTCTACTTTTACTCAAGTACAAGATCTGAGTACTTCTACATTTACTGAAGTACAAGACCTGAGTAATTTTACTTTTACTCAAGATCAGAGTACTTCTACTTTTACTCAAGTACAGGATCTGAGTACTTCTACTTTTACTCAAGTACAAGATCTAAGTACTTCTACTTTTACTCAAGATCTGAGTACTTCTACTTTTACTGAAGTACAAAATCTCAGTACTTCTACTTTTACTCAAGTACCAGATCTGAGTACTTATACTTCTACTGTAACTGAGTATTCCTACACTCTGGTACGTAACAACACATGTATTTGATCTAACTCTTGAAATCTAACTTACTCCGGAGTAATGTAAGTTATGTGACTTTCGTTAACCTTCTTTATACCAAACCGTCTTTGACTAAACCACGTAGTTTTGTTACAGCTTAAAATGCTTATTTAACACTAACTTATTTAAACCCAAACCTTCTACTAAACCTAGCCAAGTACCATTACATGTCACTTGTTAGACGCTTGTATCCAAAGCGACTTACATACTCAATACTGTGGACAATCCCCACAGGAGCACTTTGGGGTGAAGTGTCTCAGGGACACAACGACATGCTGACTGCAGTGGGGTTTGAACCTGTACTCCCCTGATCCCAACACCAACGCACTAGTCCACTGCGCCACAGCCTCCCACCTCCCAAGTACTTCAGACTTTTTTATTTGACTTAAATAACAACACATGGTAATTCTTATGGTATTAAAGTGTTGAGCTGCAGAAACTCTCTCAGTAATACCTTTCACACCTTGACCCATGTTCCCGGGGAACTTCGGCCTCCATCCCGATCTGACAGATACATATTGTTGATGTTGATTCTTCGTCTCTCTGAATGCCGTCTGTACGTTTCATCGATTCACGTCTTCACGGCCGGACTGCACGCCTGCACGTTTTATGTAAAGAAAATCAATGTTGAACACTGGAGAAACCTGCAAAAAGAATACCTTCACTGCCGCTCGATGCAACAACTGACAGAAAACTGATGAATCCTTTGCACTAAAATGACAGATGCTCTGTGGATGTTCCGTGTATATATTAAATATGTATAATTGTCTTAATTGCACTGAAAGCTCAAAATCTGTTTCTAATTTCAGGTAAAAATCTCTCTTTTCTGTGTTTTTGGCCAAAATAGAGTAATATTTTATTTTGAAAGGGTGAGGAAGTAGCATAATAACAAACATGGCGGATTGAAGTCTGCAGGCGAGACGTTCACACTCTGATGTCGGTCTCCTTTTTCCTGTGATATATTTTCATGTTCCTGTAAATTATTTGTGTTTATCTAAAAATAACATGAATAATACAAATACTGTACAGATGGTAACAACTTCAATAAAGTAAAAGTATTTCTTAAACTGTTTCCTTTGTTTTCATTTTTTCTCAGAACTTTTAACTTTCATCTCAGAATCTCATTCCTCATCCTGCAAGATGAAACCCCTCACTAGGTGACCCTCTTCCTGCCCTTTCCTCCAGCATTAAACCCCTCACTAGGTGACCCTCTTCCTGCCCTTTCCTCCAGCATTAAACCCCTCACCCGGTGACCCTCTTCCTGCCCTTTCCTCCAGCATTAAACCCCTCACTAGGTGACCCTCATCCTGCCCTTTCCTCCAGCATTAAACCCCTCACCCGGTGACCCTCATCCTGCCCTTTCCTCCAGCATTAAACCCCTCACCAGGTGACCCTCATCCTGCCCTTTCCTCCAGCATTAAACCCCTCACTAGGTGACCCTCATCCTGCCCTTTCCTCCAGCATTAAACCCCTCACTAGGTGACCCTCATCCTGCCCTTTCCTCCAGCATTAAACCCCTCACTAGGTGACCCTCATCCTGCCCTTTCCTCCAGCATTAAACCCCTCACTAGGTGTCGCTGGTTGCTGTTCTCTGCTCCTCGGCACCACAGAAGAACAGCCCGTTTTGATGCACCATGGCGGCGGTGCGCAGCTTGCGGGTCTCCGTGAAACCAGACAGCGGCTCGGACTCGGACTCTGAGTCGGATAAAGATGCTCGGGAGGCCGAACCGATGGAGGTGGAGGACGGGGAGCTGGAGGACGAGGTGTCGGTGAGCCGGTCCCTGAAGGAGCTTCTGCCGGTGAGAGGCCTCTGCAGACCGGGAACTCGCGTGTCCTGCAGCCCGGGAGAGAGAACGGGGAGTCGGCCTCTCCTCACGCCGCCTCCCCGCTCTCTCTCCGGGGGCTGGAGGCTCCCTGTACACCGGTTTGAACACAAACTGGTTTAATTATAAATATGTGTTTAGCAGCAGGTTAACTGTCTGTTATTTTAGTCACTTGTTGCTCTTAGCCTCTTCTTGTACCGTGTTTTAAAGCGAGACCAAACTCCACCGAGGAAACTGTGAATTCAAGTGTTTACATGTTAAAATAACTCGTTATTTTGAAGATAGAACCACCTTTTTGAATTATTCTAATACAAAGATGGTCTATGATCAATTCAGCCGGTTTCTAACCCCCAAATGTAACATATCTTTGAGTTTTAAAGGTTTTTCATATGATGTGACTGACCTGTAGCTGTAGGTTTGTTATTAGCATTGTTGTTAGCATTGTGACCTTTACTGGCTAACTGTTAACAACAGTTAAATGATTTTTAAATGCTTTTTATGCGAGCTGGTTATAAGTTAACTATATCTATTTAGCAGCAGTTTACCTGTTTGTTATCCCAGCCACTTGTTGCCGTTAGCCTCTTCTTGTAACGTGTTTATAAAGAGGGACCACACTCCAATTGGGAAACTGTAAATGTAGGGGTTTTAATGGCAATATAAGGCATATATTTAATCAAATAAAAATATATATTCAATTATTCTGATACAGGGACAGTCTATGATAAATTCGGCCTATTTCTAACCCCCAAATGTAACAGATATATTTGAGTTTGAAAGGTTTTCCATCTGATGCGACTCACCTGTAGATGTAGCTTTGTTGTTAGCATTGCGACCGTTACTGGCTAACTGTTCACGGTTAACTGCTATTAATGCGAGCTGGTCATACGTCAACTACATCTGTAAAAGGCATATATCTAAAAAAAAACAATACAACATATTGAACCAATCTGATACAGGGACTGTCTATGATCAATTCGGCCTGTTTGTAACCCCCAAATTGAACAGATATCTTTGGGTTTTGGTGGTTTTTCATCTGTTATGACTCAGACAGAACTCTGTAAATCACCTTTTTAACTCAAGCTGGTTAAAACTCAAATATATGTGAACAGTTTACCTGTGTTTTATTCCATTGACTTGGTGCTGTTAGCCTCAACATGACCCCTGTTTGTGTGGATCGACCAAAACCCACTAAGGAAACTGTAAATGTAATGTTTTTAACAGCAAAAGAACGGATGTGTTTGATATTAATTAAAAAAGTTTAATGACTCTCACACAGGGAGAGTCTCTGATCAATTCGGCTGATCTTTAATCCCTAATTTAGGTGATATTGTTAAACTTTGTTGGTTGTGTTTCTGATACCATTGCTCATCTTCCCACTAACATACATTATGCAGAACACTGTAATATCTCCTGTAGTGCAAAGTGTTTTACGGCACACCTCCATTACCTGTTGGTTAACTTTCCTTACATTTGCCTGGTATAATAAGACAATGTTTTACTCACTTAAAAATAATTAAAATACCAGTTATTTAAAAGGAGTTTGGTGTAAATCTGGGGGAAAAGTTGAGCTTCAGATGCTGTGGATTTTTAAATTTAAATGACATTATTGTTTGTTTTAATTTCTTCAGGATACGAGCCGGCGATATGAGAACAAGGCGGGATCGTTCATCACAGGGATCGACGTCAACTCAAAGGTACAAACGGCACTTTACGGCAGCATTATTCAAAAAGAGAAGCTACTAAAAATCAGATTTATCAACAATTAAATGTACAAACTGGGACACAAACGGATTATATATCCAACATATTTTGTATTGCCCTCAATATCATAATACAAATTGTATCTCCCTCTCACTGCTCTCCACGCTGAAGCTGTTCCATGTTTCCGGTTCACTCCAGTTTCTGTGAATATTGGTCACCTGACACATCGTCTCAGCGTGATCATTCAGATCTTCACATTTGCTTTAAGGAGTACAGAATTTTAGTTTTTTTACAGGATGTTGTTAATGATCTCGGTTTGCTTCTGGTGAATTTGTAAATGAAACATGAAGACGTTCATAGACTTTAAACCCACTGTTCTCTCAGTTCTCCAACAGGAGGGGAATCACTGATAGAGTACACACACACACACACACACACTGGGGCTAAAGTTTCTCTCAGAGAATTGAATTCACATAAGTTTAAGGGATTGTTGTTCCTGCAAAAATAACTATTATTTAAATTATATTTCCTTAATGTGAGCTCGGTGGATTCAACCTCTGTGTCTTACTTTAAAAAGATGCTCTGATTTCCTTAAATTAAATCATTTTGAATGAAGTTGAAGCTCTGAACGTAGAGGAAGTGTGTTAAATGTGTGTGTGTATGTTTTCATCAGGAGGCGATCGAGAGGAAGGAAAAGAGAGCGCAACGTTTCCACTTCCGTCCCGAAGACAACGCCGAGCAGAGAGACGTTCTCATGGATAAAGAAACCATGAAGAAAGGTGAGACACAGCTCTTCTTCTGTGGTGCTCTAACCTCCTATTCTTCTTCTGTGGTGCTTTAACCTCTCTTCTTCTTCTTCTTCTTCTTCTTCTGTGGTGCTCAGCGATCCCCAACCTGAGGATGGAGGCTCTCTACGTGACGGGAGTCGACGACATGAGCACTCAGGACATCTTCGGATACTTCAAGGAGTATCCTCCAGCTCACATCGAGTGGATCGACGACAACTCCTGTGAGTCTCACACTCACACGCACACGCACACACACACACAGACACACGCACACACACACATACACTCACACAGACATACACACACGCGTGCACACACACACACACACACACACTCTCACAGACATACACACACTCTCATACAGACACACACACACACTCTCACACAGACATACACACACACTCTCACACATACATACTCACACACACACACACACAGACACACACACACACTCTCTCTCTCTCTCACACATACACACACACACACTCTCTCTCTCTCTCACACATACACACACACACTCTCTCTCACACATGCACACACACACACACACACACACACACACACACACACACACACACACACACACTGTAAAACAATCTGCTATCTGCAGCATATGTGTGTATGTATACAGCAGATGTGTATGATTATAGGTATTTGCTGCATGTATGTATTGCATGCATATATATTAATTTAACAATGTTTCTGGTAGACCATCGGGTCTGAGGCTCACTGGCAGTGAATGTAGGAATTACTTTAGTCGTTGTTTTTGTTTGTTTGTGTTCTTTGTAAAATTGTTTCTCTTTGTGCATACAATCAGTACAGACCACCGTCTCATTTGAATGCATATATTTGGCTTTCCATTTCTAAATGACAAACACTGGTTATGCATTGTCAAAACGCAATAAACCGATTTTTGAACTCACTACCAGGAGGAAATCGAATACAATAAATGTAAACACTGCTCCATGTGTAATGCCACCGTGAGGAATGAGGTCAGAAACACACACCTGTCTGAAGTCCACCTGCTGGTTTCCTAGGTAACGTGGTGTGGCTCGATGACAACACGTCGATCCGAGCGCTCGTTAACTGCAGCCGGCTGCCCGACCCGGAGACGGTTACCACGGAGACGGAGAGCAGCGAGCAGCCGGAGACGGAGAGTAAAGGTAAACAAACCCCAGGTAATCAAACCCCTGTGACCTAAGTTTTTCATAGCCATATATACACTGTGGCTAATGTGCTAATGGCAATAAAGCCTTGAAACCTGAAACCCTGGTAAACAAAGCCCAGAGCCCAGAGCCCAGAGGCCTGTACTACGAAGCCGGATTTTCGCTTAGCGAGCTAACTTCAGGTTAACTCGGGGTTTCCGGTCCTACGACGCTGGTTCACTTTTTAGCGGGCTAGATAACTTATTCTGAACGGCTAGCCTCCGGAGCAGGATAGGTTCCAGGATAAAAGCACTGCCTGCTGACCAATCAGAGCTCAGTGTGCGGAGTTTAAAGCAATCAATTCATATGACAGGAGAAAGGAAATACAGTTTAAACTGCCGTTGCAGGAAAGACGGCCGGCCAAAATCACAGACTGTGTGAACGTGAACATTAATAGAATATCACCTCCCATCTTCAGAGCAATCTGACTATTATAACATTAGCGTTAAGAAAGCTTACTTATGGCGCGTTTCCACTACACGGCCTCGCTCGGTATGGCTGGGCCTCGTTAGGACTGGCTCACTTTATGGCGCATTTCCATTACAGTTTAGGAACTGGGGCAGTATCTATAGTAACGCAGTGTAGGCGGAGCCGTGACGTGATCTTCAGAGAACCCCAGAAAATCAACACAGCTGTTAGCTGTTAGCACTCAGAGCTCACAGCTCCTCATATATGTTCAGAAACTAGACAAAAGTTAAACAAGTACAAACCACAGACTGCCTGTGTCATGGTGAATACAGTCGCTGCTTTATTTATGTCTGTATAGGCCGTTGTTGTGAGTGTGGACGGTCGGAGCATATACTGCGTTAGCTTAGCCAATCTCCATTTAGAAAACACGCATTTTAAAAGGTTTTTCCCCTGCCGTCTGTCTGCAGACTTGTCAAAGCATTAATTCATGGTTTTTACTAACCGGTATCAGTATGTTGTTACTTCGGCATCATTTTGAAACGTGTATTACAATTAAATCACGGTCAAATATGTCCATCTTGTTGTAGTTGTAGCCCCCTTGCCAGCGATGCTCTCTCTAGTTTAGCATACTCAGCCCGACTCAGCCTCGTTGCCTCTGGCCCTGGACCCGCGATTTTATGAGGCCAGAAAAACTGTGAATTAGGACCCGCCGGCCGGTACTAGGCCAAGTGGAAACGCAACCAAAGACGGGCCGCTGACGTCACAGCCCTCTTAAACCGTGCTCCGCGCTGTAGTGGAAACGCGCCATTAAATATCTGCCACAACATAAGTAACCGGATCAGAGTAACATTAAGTACAGTCCGCGGCACTGTGAGTGCAGACGGCGATGTGTCCCATTATCATTCATATCATATCGCATCATAATGTATCATATATTTCCTTATCTGAGTCAGCTTCTTGAGCCGTATCTGGCCGTGCAACACTCACAGTGTCACATACTGTATGCAGAAGTATTATTTTAAGCAACACATTAAGTTGACGAAACACTCGAGTCAAATGTAATTAAAGTCAGATCGTGTCTTAGACGGGGCAGTGATATCATAAACCTGTTAATGTACGCATTCAAACACTTTTTCTGTTACCAGCTGTATTCACCTTGCAGGTGCAGCTATGTGGCTTTGATCCTGGATAAAGTGTTTAAGTCATGGATGTTTAAAGTTTAACGTCTTCATATTTGACTAATATTATAGTTCACTTTTCATTCAGGAAGTATGACGCTGCGCTGTCAGTACGCTTGTCCATGTTTGAGATTGGTCGAATGCTCCAAATACCACCCCTTTCATGTGAACGCGCACCTAACTAGATAGGACACGGCTGGCTTGAGCGATCCACTTCATAACCCGCGTCGTAGTACAGCTTAGCGAGAGCGCGTATGTTTTGGATTGGGCCAACCGGCTAACTCAAACATATCCAGGTTAGGTTGAACCGGCTTCGTAGTACAGGGCACAGGTAAGATAAGCCTCTGGCCTCAGGTAAACAAAGCCCAGGTAAACTCACGGTAATATTCCCACTAGTGAGAAAGAAGACAGGTGATGGATCTAAATCATGAATGTGTGTGTTTGACCTGACAGTTCGTGGAGAGAAGTCTGAGGAGGAGGAGGAGGAAGGGCAGGTGGAGCAAGAGGAGGACGAGGAGGAAGAGGAGAAGGTGAAGAAGAGCAGCGAGGAGATCGAAGTGAAGGAGGGCGAGGTGGAGGAGCAGAAGAAGAAGGAGGACGTTCAGGTGGAAGATCTGTCTCTGATGGAGAGAGACTCTCTGCTGAGCAACGAGCTGCGACCCGCCATCAAACCCTTCAAAGGAAACAAGCTGCTGCTGCGCTTTGCAACACACGGTCAGTTCCTCTACTTTAAAGAGTCCTCTCCTGTTGATGTTCAGGTGTATATCAGTATGTAGTGTCTCTACTTTAAAGAGTCCTCTCCTGTTGATGTTCAGGTGTATATCAGTATGTAGTGTCTCTACTTTAAAGAGTCCTCTCCTGCTGATGTTCAGGTGTATATCAGTATGTAGTGTCTCTACTTTAAAGAGTCCTCTCCTGCTGATGTTCAGGTGTATATCAGTATGTAGTGTCTCTACTTTAAAGAGTCCTCTCCTGCTGATGTTCAGGTGTATATCAGTATGTAGTGTCTCTACTTTAAAGAGTCCTCTCCTGCTGATGTTCAGGTGTATATCAGTATGTAGTGTCTCTACTTTAAAGAGTCCTCTCCTGCTGATGTTCAGGTGTATATCAGTATGTAGTGTCTCTACTTTAAAGAGTCCTCTCCTGCTGATGTTCAGGTGTATATCAGTATGTAGTGTCTCTACTTTAAAGAGTTCTCTCCTGCTGATGTTCAGGTGTATATCAGTAGTGTCTCTACTTTAAAGAGTCCTCTCCTGCTGATGTTCAGGTGTATATCAGTATGTAGTGTCTCTACTTTAAAGAGTCCTCTCCTGCTGATGTTCAGCTGTATATCAGTAGTGTCTCTACTTTAAAGAGTCCTCTCCTGCTGATGTTCAGGTGTATATCAGTATATAGTGTCTCTACTTTAAAGAGTCCTCTCCTGCTGATGTTCAGGTGTATATCAGTATGTAGTGTCTCTACTTTAAAGAGTCCTCTCCTGCTGATGTTCAGGTGTATATCAGTATGTAGTGTCTCTACTTTAAAGAGTCCTCTGTGAATAAATAAAGTAAATGAACTGTTTGTGTTCAGATGATAAGAAGGAGCTGGGTGCAGCTCGACGCAGCAGATACTACATGAAGTACGGAAACCCAAACTACGGAGGCATGAGAGGAGTCCTCAGCAACTCCTGGTGAATATATACACACACACACACACACACACACACACACACACACACACACACACACACACACACTATAATCTGATGATTCCACAGTGTGTATATATCTATAATCTGATTGAATGTTTGTGTGTGCAGGAAGAGGAGGTTCCACACCCGCAGGATCCAGAGAGACGTCATCAAGACCAAGAAACCTCTGATCGGAGACAACATGGGACACACACCTCCATACACACACAGACACTCAGGTACACACACACACACACACACACACACACAGGCCTGTCACGATAATTAATTTTGTTGGACGTTACATTTTCCTGGAAATAATAAACGATATTGTCGGCACCGTTGTAAGACCATTTTAGAACTAACTGACATTATGATAATATATCATAATAATTCAAGTACATCCTTTCAAACTTTTTATTGAACATTCAACATTGCAAATGAAATGTGAAATAATATTCAAATATATAAATTATATATAATAAATAAAACCAATGAATTACATTATAATAAATTAATTAAATCACACACAACCAAAACAATAAATTAAATAGACTCAGTCTGGAAAACAGAGCTCTCTCTCTATCTATCCTTCTATCTATCCGTCTGTCCGTCTGTCTGTCTGTCCGTCCGTCTGTCCGTCCGTCTATCTATAAATATGAGCGTATACATTGTCTCACCAGCAAAAAAACCTCCTTAAAACAACAGTCAAGTGTACAGTCCACTGTCCATACAAAGACCCAGATGCCTCAACAGGCCATATCCAAATCTGTTTTTCAAAGATTTCGAGCAAGGAACACCAACATGTTTGCATTTTCGGGCAAATGCATCTTTGATTGCAAACTGTCGGGAAGGTGGGAGCTCTCCATCTCCAGCTGCCGTGTTTGCTCCCAGCTGGGAAAACGGAATGTGGTGGTTGTGTTTCAGGTGCAGTTCAAGGTTGGTCGTATTGCTAGCTTTTGTTGCTACCTTTTTTAAAACAAATGCGACACACCGCCCGGCTCATTCAAGTCCGTAGGTTCGCCTCGTTGATTTGGCTGAAATCCAAAATATTCCCACACCGGAGAATCGAGATGTGTAGTTTTGTAACCAATTCCATTTCACTTTAAATTCCCCGCGAGTAAGTCACACGTTGTCTCCCGCTTGTCGCTATATTATTAATTTGGATGCTACACTGCTGCACGAGGAGTGTCTGACTCCTGACCTGGCTGTGTGTCAGCCCCGCCCCTCACAGCGCGCGTGGCCGGCAGCCACAGCGCGCCTGGCTAAAATGCTGGTCACATCCTTATGTAAACGGCAATTTATCGAGCTCAGAAAAGTTATCATTTTTATTTATCGTACGATAAGTAAATGTATCGATTATCGCGACAGGCCTACACACACACACACACACACTCAGGTACACACACACCTCCAGACACTCAGGTACACACACACACCTCCATTTAATATGTGTCTCTCTGCAGCCGACCTGGTGAACCTGCCTGAGGAACCCATCAAGGAGGAAGAGGAGGAGGAGGAAGGAGACGAGGAAGGAGACGAGGACATGGAGGAGGACGACCGCGTGGTGGAGTACGGGGATCGGGTCGGGGAAAGGGGTGGGGCTTCCCGCGCGTTGGGGGCGGGGCTCCGCGGCCGGGCGTCTCGCTCGCCCTCCCCCTGGTCGGAGTCGGACGAGATGGACTACGACCTGGAGCTGAAGATGATCTCCACCCCCTCCCCCAAGAAGACCAAGAAGATGACCATGTACGCCGACGAGCTGGACACCACCCTGAAGAGCATCAGGTACACGCTCTTACTCTGAAAAACTTCCAGCAGGAAGTGAAGTACCAGATATTTAAAAACATTGGTATCTTAAAGGTCTCCTATCATGCAGAATGCTCTTCTTGATGTCTTCTCTACATCACCATGTGTCCCCGTGTGTCCCCGGTGTGTCAGGAGACTCTCAAAGTGTCAGGAAATAAACCCCTCTCTCTTTTCCTCTGTACCCACATCTCTAAAAACGGGGGAACAACGGAGCTGATCCAGATTTGCTGCGTCATGACGACATTACTAAAATGTGGGCGGGCTTTAAACACACGGGCCAATCAGAAACGTTGCTGTCAGAAACAATGAGACGTGTTCTGGAAGTAATATGGTCTGTGTTTACATTAGCATGCTAACACTCAGAGCTAACCTATACTGGAGAGAGTATGTGTGAAGAAGCAGGAAATCAAAAGGAACTCACCTTGTGGTAAACCTGAGAGAGAGAAAGAGTTTGAGCTCCATACTGTTTCAGAGAGAATCCTTGATGTGGTTTGGAACATGATGTGGAGTTTCATCACGGCAGCATTTAGCTGAGTTTCTGCTGGGAGAGTTCTCCTGATGAGATCTACTCTCTCTCTCTAAAGCTACTGACCCAGAGTCAGCTCTTTAATAACAGCTGACAGAGAGGGGGGGGGGGGGGGCTACAAGGATCTGTTTGGGGTTTGGAGCAGGACACTTCAGAGACATGTCCTTAGTAACAGCTGGAAGAGAGGGGGGGGAGGCTACAAGGATCTGTTTGGAGCAGGACACTTCAGAGACATGTCCTTAGTAACAGCTGGAAGAGAGGGGGGGGGGGCTACAAGGATCTGTTTGGGGTTTGGAGCAGGACACTTCAGAGACATGTCCTTAGTAACAGCTGGAAGAGAGGGGGGGGGGGCTAAAATGATCTGTTTGGGGTTTGGAGCAGGACACTTCAGAGACAAGACATTTTATATATCTGAGACTTTAATATAATATATGCCTAAAATAGTATAATGGGAGACCTTTAACTCCTCTCTTTAAATTTGAACTGTGTTTAACTTTGTGTTTCTCTCAGGAACCGGGTGGGGGGCTCTAAGTCTGCGTCTCCCCCCCCGAAGGTGAGGGACGTCCGCCAGCTGCTGGAGGAGAAGCGGAAAGGCCTCTCCCCCAGACAGCCCCCCCCGGTGGCCCCCGGCGGAAAGACAGGTCATTATCAGCTGTTTATTAATGTGTGTGTACCTGTGTGTGTCAGGGATGCAAACTTGTCACCTTTCGGCGAAATTCGCCGTTTTGAATCCAAAATAGGTCGTTTGTGTGATTCATGTAGATCTGCAATAACAATATTTTTGGGGTATGGGGGGGGTCTGGGACCCGGAGTAATCTGCGGCCGCGAGCTGTTATGTGCCATCATGACACGCATGGTGTTCTTTTGTTATATATTATAATGAAGCGCGAGCTGTGTGCTCGAGTCTTCCTGCCTGTCGGCTCTGCTCATGGATGTATAATAAGGCTCTGCTGCTCCGGGATGAGGGTCTAGCTTCAGCAGCTACATTACCTACGGGTGCGTTCGTTAATATTAACTGTGCGGTCCGGAGTCACTGTGGCACAGACTGGACCGCTGGTGAACAGCTGTTAGAAAGGGCCGTTCAGAGCAGAGCTCCCTGTCGGAGCGGCAGAGCGTGATGTGTACTGAAACGTGTTTCTGTCGCAATATTATCCTTGAGCTAGCTAACTAGCATACATTGTCACTATCTGCTAACGTTAGCTTTAGCCTTCGTTTTCTAATAGTTGTTTTCATAGGCTATAAACGGAGGTGGTATAAGTATATATCTTGTCCTTGAGTAAAAGTAGAAGTACTCAGGTCTTGTACTTGAGTAAAAGTAGAAGTACTCAGATCTTGTACTTGAGTAAAAGTAGAAGTACTCAGATCTTGTACTTGAGTAAAAGTAGAAGTACTCAGATCTTGTACTTCAGTAAAAGTAGAAGTACTCAGATCTTGTACTTCAGTAAAAGTAGAAGTACTCAGATCTTGTACTTCAGTAAAAGTAGAAGTACTCAGATCTTGTACTTGAGTAAAAGTAGAAGTACTCAGATCTTGTACTTGAGTAGAAGTACACAGATCTTGTACTTGAGTAAAAGTAGAAGTACCAGAGTGTAGGAATACTCTGTTACAGTAAAAGTCCTGCATTAAAAATGTTCCTCAAGTAAAAGTAGAAAAGTATTCTCATCAAAATATAGTTAAAGTAGCGACAGTAAAAGTAGCTGGTAAAGGTGCAGCTAGTTTGAATGACTTTGTATACTGCAGGGTAGCTTGTGAATTTACTCCAGGTGGAACTAAAGTCTGATTTAACACTTGATTATATTTCACATCATTCATCCACATCTGTAAAGTCACTAAAGGTATTGAATACATGTAGTGGAGGAAAAGTACACCATTTACCTCTGAACTGTAGTGGAGTAGAAGAACAAAGTAGCATAACATTGAAATACTTAAATTAAGTACAAGTATCTCAAAATTGTACCCAAGTATAGTACTTGAGTTTATGAACTTAGTTACTTTACACCAGTGGCTATAAAGATAGAAAGACTAAGCCTTGCACAGAGGCATGAAAATACATTTTGGGTTCCCTGTGGACTACAATAACGATGGAGTGCGAGTGGTGGATCAGGAGGACGGTGTGTCGGCGTTGTTCGACAGCGGTGCGGTATGCTAATGGTAACACGCCAAACATGCTAAATCATATCCAGTGGCGTTTTTATATGTACAAAAGTGGTGGGGCACAAAAAACTTAGATGTCTATATATAAGCTTCTGCAGTGACGTGCAGTGAGGTTCATGGCTGCTGAGGCACTGGCACTGACTCTTCAGGTTTACAAATATTATATTTTGACCTAAACCAAAATATAATATTATTTTCAAAAGCTTTTTTTGTCTGATGCTTCGATTAATTTTAAACAGACAGTTCAACAAAAGGATACCCAAAAAATGTAATTTTATCATTTAAATATTGAATTGTTCTCTCTTAGTAAGATCCCATTTTCAATAAAATGGCGGTCTTACCTTGACTTGAAGATGAAGTCCATTTGCCTATCCTTCTGGACAAACATTTCTATTACTTTTTTGTAAAAGTCCTCCTTATCTTCTTGTAGTTTCAAAAGTCTATCATAAATCTAATCCATAGATTTATGATAAAAAAATTATAAAAGTAGGGTAGACATGTGGATGTTATCCGGCTAATCAAAACGTGCATTTATCTAACAGGTACGTTTCCCACAGATCTTATTTCGAGCTATTTTCTAAAATCCTCTGGAGAAATCTCATTGCTTTTTTGTGCTTACTTCCTGGTTTTAGGACGCGTCACTGCAGCTCTCTCGTCTCCTCTTCACACACCACACTTTTCGCGGCACACGTACTTACAGCCAATCAGCTCTGAATGATTTGAGATGACGTATGGTGGGGATGGTAGCTCCGTGCCCCTCTGGTCATTATTTTTTTGTCACACACATTACATTACAAAATACTCTGAGCATGCGCAGTGTAGTTTTTACAGTCATCGTTCACTTCACAGCGAGAGGAAGGGGCATAATCAGGTTTTGTCCCACATGGCTCTAAACAGCTCAATAGGCACACACTGGGACTGTAGACACACTAATTAGAAGAACACAGACTAAAACAGCAATGTACAGACGAATCAATGATTAAACATGATCTTAAAATATATTTTATATATTTTTTTATTTATTTTTTTGCATTTTTGTAATCATTATTTGTAATACTTTCTGCTGACACTAGGTGGGGCTGTGCCCCACCTGCCCCTAATGATCAGTCGCCACTGATCATATCAGAAGGAATCACCCAGATTTTTCAATCACCGGAGCCCGGCGAAAGACAAAAGCCGTTCAGCCAGAGAGACCAGAATAAATAACGGAAGCTATTGGCATATGTTTTTCAACGGCATGCGCCCTTGAAACACTTTCTTATTATTTATTTTGTAATATTTTCAAGACATTCTTTTTAGTTTTACAGCTTGATGAAACCTTTTTGTTTGACATCAGCCATTATAGATGATATGGCCATCTGAGTGTTTGTGGTTTGTTTTTCACTGTGTAATACAGTTCATACATCAAAATGTTAGAGTTCCTTATTTTTAAACTGAAACTTGCACTACTGTTCAAAATAAATAACAAACCTGGAATTATGCATTTGGGACTTTTTTTTAGCTTTTTCTTGTTGTACCGAACCGTGACCCCCAAACCGAGGTTCACACCGAACCGTGAACTCTGTGAACCGTTACACCCCTAATTATGAATAATATGAATGTTATTGATGTCCCGCTCTCTGCAGATGTGAGGCAGCGTTTGGGGAAGAGACGATATTCCCCCGACGGACGCTCCCCCTCCCCCCCCTCCCCCAGGGACACGCCCCCTGCCAGAGAGCCAATCAGAGACGTGCACCGCAGGCTGGGCGTGGCCAATCAGGACAGAGCAGTAAACTCATCCAAAGACAGGAAGTCAAGTAAGGAACTGCTCTGAGAGGAAAATGCATAAAACAGAAGTGCAGGATGATGTTTGTTTTTCAAAGTAAAAGCCCCAGAGACTAACAATCTTTCCAGGAAGTGAAGGATGTTATTTCAAAATAAAAGCTCAGTGATCAGATGGTGACGTTGTGTGTCTTCTCTCAGCGCTGTGGAGCAGACTGGGCTCGGCCGGAGACGACGCCAACGAGCGCCTCTTCACCTCCTCTTCATCATCGGGGAGGAAGGAGAACGCCTCCAGCATCAGGAGGGGAGGCGACGGGGAGGAGGAGAAGGAGAAGAAGAAGAAGAAGAAGAAGGTGGCAGGGGAGGAAGAGGAGGAGGAAGAAGAGGAGGGCGACTCGGCGCTGCAGGAGGTTTGGGGCGCGATGATTAAACAGAAACAGGAGCGTCTGACCACGCAGATCAAAAAGAGTCGTCTCGATAACCTGCCGTCGCTTCAGATCGAAATCAGCCGCGAGAGCAGCGACGAGTCCGACAACTGAGGAGACCTTCATCATCATCCTCTTCATCGTCCTCTTCCTCATACAGACTGCAGATCTGAGGCCGTGGGAGAGGGGGGGGAGACATGGCCGACGTCCTGATATTTAGTTTTTTTGTTTGTTTTGGCTGTTTTTAAATATCGACAGTCTGCGACCGAGTCCATGAGCGGTGCAGAAAACACAGACAGGGAGCATTCCTTATCAAATTAAAAGGTGAGACTAAAAAGTTCAAAGAGACGTAACACAACTTCAAAGAGACGTAAGACAACTTCAAAGAACTTCAAAGAGACGTAAGAGAACTTCAAAGAGACGTAAGAGAACTTCAAAGAGACAAGAAACGACTTAGAAATACCAGACTACTTTGAAGAGATGCTAAATGACTACAGAGAAAAAAAAGCGACTAAAAGGACAAAACAACTTCAGAGAGACGTAAGACAACTTAAAAATACTCCAAAATACAACGTGACAACTTTGAAGAGACGCAAAATGACTTCAAAGACATAAACAAATACTTCAAAGAGACACGAAACAAGTTCAAAAGGACAACAACCAAACATGAGACAACTTTGTAGAGATCACTACAGAGACAAAAGGGATTAAAAGGAAATGCAGAAAAACTTTAAAGAGATGCTAAATTACTTCAATATACACTTATTTTTGCATGTTTTTAAATATCGAGACTCAAGTCCATGATTTGCTGTCCAGAAACACAGAAAGAGGGCACTCCTTATGAATTAAATGTAAGACTCACTTTGTCTCCAGTGCAAAATGACTCACATATATACTCAGAAATACGAGACAACTTTGAAGAGATGCAAAATGACTACAGAGAAAAAACAACGACTGAAAGGACACTCAAAAGAACTTCAAAGAGACACGAAACATCTTAAAAATACTCAAAATGACCACAAAGAGACGCAAAACTATTTCAAAGAGACACAAAACTATTTCAAAGACATACAGAAATGACTTCAGAGTGACTTCAAATGATAACAACGAAACTTGAGACAACTTTGAAGACATGCTAAATGACTACAGAGGAAAAGAAAGCGACTAAAAGGACACGCAAAACAACTTCAAAGAGACAAGAAACATCTTAGAAATACTCAAAAGGACTTCAAAGAGACATAGGACAACTTCAGATGACGAGAGTGAGAGAAAAGTGTTTTTTTTGTTGTAAATCCTCACATTTGTTGTATACTGTTTGTATATTTAAATATCTGTGTCGATATTAAACGGCCCAAAAACCCCAAACATCCGTTACCATGTGGTCCGGGTCTCTCTCTTTCCGCGACTCATTCCCGTCGGCCTCAGATCTGATTTGACAAAGTGTTTCCCTCTGAGACCCTGGACGCTCCGGAACATTCCTGCGTTCAGAAAAAGTGTTTCTACGTTTCTTTGAGATGTTTCCTGTGTGCAGCGATCAATGAAAGACTCATGGGGATATTGATAATGACCTGGTGTTGTTTCCTACGGACGGACGGGCGGTGGAAACGCAGACGGACCTTTTGTTTCCTGAATGTCGGACATTTCTCTAACATTGTTTTTTAAAGCCGTCATGGAGCTGCTTCCTGTGTGCGTGACAGGAACACTGCTGCCTTCCTGCAGCGTCAAACATCATATCTGTGTTTAAATATCTTTGTTTTGTATTCTTTACGCAGGGTCAAACATTTTAGATTATTATACAAATTAGAGCTGCAACGATTGGTTTCTTTATGGATTAGTTTGCAAAACGTTTTTTTTCCTGATATATGCTTTGATGTATAAAATGTCAAAACAAATTGTCAATCTCAGTTTCTCCGAGTCACGGTCATGTGTTCCAAAAATATTCATTTAAATATGAAATGAAACAAAAGATTAGAAAGAAACACACAGCACACCTGGAACATAGTGACATCACTACATAACACTCACGCTCCTATTGGCTAGCGCTCCAACACATTGTACGTGACAGGCTAAGGGGCGGGACATCTCTAAGCAGGTTGACCAATCACAACAGAGCCGGCCAGCTAACCAATCAGAGCAGACTGAGCTCTGGTTTGATTAAAGTCCAATGTGTATCTAATCAACCTATCCCAATTTAAGAAGTTCACTGCTATGAACGTGAACTGACTGTCTAACAAAGCAGCGACACATTTCAAGTTGCAACTAGAGCACATGTTCAATACAATGACTCTATCCCATGTGATTATATAGAGGGTTTTCAGGACCAACATTGTACATACGGGTCATATATTAACTCGTACCTGCTGGCATTAATCCGTCACATGATCAATTTGACATGATCAGCCACATTATTGATTATTCTCCTTCACGCCCCGAACTCAAACATTCCTCAAAACGGCTCCGACTGGCTTTTTGAGACGTTCAACATTCCCCCCCCCCCCCCCAACAGCAGTCAAGAACCTGAGAGAAGCCCGAGGGAGAAACCTCCCTTTGTGACGTCTCAGAAGAATGTCTGTCAATCCTCAAAGAATGTGTATCTATCAACCTGTCCCAATTTAAGAAGTTCACTGCTATGAATGTGAACTAATACTGACTGTCTAACAAAGCAGCGACACATTTGAACCCTCAGATGCATAAGTGGGTGTCTTTTGACCCGGTGAGGTGGTTTTCTGGAAGTATCTTTGTAATTACATTCTTTTATCATTTCATATTCCAGCTATTCCTCAAAAAACATGTTTTGGATATCAGGCCATTCAAATGTTTGATTTACATTTTAAGAAATTGTAGTTTTCTGATGTTTCTTTCAAGGTGCATGTTTCAGCACATATTCTCTCTGGGCTCGGGTGTAAAAGCTGCTCAGTAAGTAATACACTTTATTGAAGTATATATTATTGGTTATATATTAACACACGAACATAACACATGAATTCATACTTGATATTGATTCTTCTTCTTCTCATTATTATTGCTATTTGCCCTCTTTGATCGCATCTCTGACCCCCTGAACATATATGAAGACTCACCTAAACTCATGATTTGATTCTTCACTGTTGCTCTGCTTTGCATGTTAGCTTTTTGAAACCTGAGAATTACATGTAGAGAAATCACAGGAAACATGCCCCCCCCCCCAGGCTAAAGTGCTGCAGGTGGAGTGTGGCCGAGTCACATGTTGGAGTGCAGAACACACGTGAGGAGAGGAAATAAACCTGAGTCGTCAGGCTTGAAGGTACAAAGACAACGAGGGGAACCCAGAGTACATACACAGGGGGAGAGATGATAATGGGGCACAGGTGACACTAATTAGGGATGGTTACGCAGGTGGGGGTCAATCAAGGGGCAGGAAGTGCTGACACTGAAATGAGAGATGAAGTGAGTAACCAAATGAAAAAGGAATAACAGAATGATAACAGAACCTTCACTTGCTGGCTAGGACCTTACTAATATTTGAATAGTCTGAAACCCAAGACTTTCAAAACCCCTGTCCCGGACCCTGCCGTGTTACTATGGTTACTACCAGCCTGTCACTCATTATTTTCAGGGGGGGGGGGGCAGTGAGGTTTTCCTCCTGCCTTCACAAGCTTTACTAAAGTATTTATCGTCTGGATAAAGCAAAAAGACGTCCTTACTCTGCAATACAACACGTCTTTTTTTAAATCTACCCTAAGCCTGAAATCGGGTCCTTCTTTGAGCGAGGGGCCTTTTCATTCATGTCTCTGTGGATCAAGCTCCCCCCCCCCCCCCCCCCCCCCCCTCAGAGTGCGGCTGCTATCAACGGCTGATGGCCTTGAGTTTGACACCTGTGCTTTAGAAACCTGTTTACGAGGGCCTCACAGCAAAGTACAGTACAGTATTTGCTCCGGAGGCTGGAAAGTGTTCTGAAATAATAAATACACGAATAACCAGACTGAGAGGTTTTCAGGAATGTTTGCTTCAGTCTTTAGGGGCTGGAAGAGAAGAAACAGCATACAAAGAGACGGAGCGAGACACAGCGCCACATCAGAGCTGCACCTGCAGGACCAGGACCAGGACCAGGACCTCAAGAGAACCATCAGCTGCCCCAGAGAACCATCAGCTGCCCCAGAGAACCATCAGCTGCCCCAGACCTCCAGACGGTGAGCCTCCAGTTCTTATTCTCTCCTCAGGGTCCTGCAGCCCCGTCAGGAAGCCTCCTGTGACTCGGTGCAGGGACCAGTCCCCTCAGAAACACAGAATCCTGAAGAGAGGTCCGTGTGAATGCTGAATGCTGAATGCTGAATGCTGAGCTTTCTGAGTAACGTACGGGGAGCAGGTAGCAGCTGAAGTCTTAACCGTTCCTCCATTGACTTCTGTAGTGAAATGTTGAAGAATTATGATGAATATTATTCATAGCATTCCTAACTGAGATGAACGTTTTGATGTTTGAACCGAGTCTGTGGGTTGAACAGGTCCAGAAAGTAATAACGCACCTTTGGAAAACAAAGACAAAACTGCACTCCTTATTCAAATGATTTGAAGATCTTGGTTACTTTCATAGCGCTCCAGCTTATTTCTGATCTTTGAATGATTCCTTATTCTGCACTAAATAGCTGTGACAGTGTTTAATAACCCCCCCAGGATCAGACCCTCCTCTAACCTTCCTGTTGGGCTCATTATGACAGTGTGCAGCTCTCTCTATTCCCGTTGTATCTCCTCATGGCCTTCGGGTTTGACCAACTCAGATGGAAAGAGTTGGATGATAATAGTGAAGCTGAGGGAAATGATTTCCAGATATGTGTTCAGTTAAAAACCACCAGTACGTCTTCTTATCTCAATGTCTCAGTTTTGCTCACAGCCTCTTTGCATCACTAAAGTGGTGACATCAGGGAATCAGTCAGGGAGCATTTGACGGGTTTAGAGAACATTGTTTTGAATCTTCAGGAAGTGTATGAACCACTTCCTGCCGAGGACCCTTCATTGTGTACGCTGTTAATGTGTGTTATCGTGCGTTAACCCGGTGTTTGTGCCTCTTCCTCTGTGCAGAGTCATGAAGCTGCTCCTCCTGCTGGCAGGTAAGCAGCATCGCAGGCTTCACTGTGACTAACAACATGTGTTTGAAAGGCATTATGAATGCATTTCAAAGTCAAGTCCTCTGTGCATAGAGTCACTGCGAGTGTGTAATAGCCCCGCACTACTCTACTGTCTTCTTTGTGCAAATAAACAAAGATAATGTTTGAATGATAGACTTTTAAAACATGAGCTCATCCATGAAATCAATATAACTCTGAACGGCTCTTATTCAACATTTTGATGGCTTCAGTTAATGAGGGGGTTAGCCTTCAACCACTTGTATTTATGAATGGCACAGAACCCAGATACCCTGTATACATTCACCCTGAAGGAGCACATGTTTTACAGAATAAATAAGTATATCATTATTCACTCATTGCACTGATGAGTGTCACTTCAAGTCAGAGGAGAGACTTCAGGGAACGATGAGTGTTCAGGTTGTTCCTGATGGATGTGTTTCTCCTGGAACTCCTGCAGTTGCTGCCAGCCAGATGGAGCTCTCTGCCTCTTGGGTCACTCTGAATGCTCCTGGTGGAAACATCAACATCAGCACCATGCCCATCACTTTCTATGGAAAAACATACACAATGTTAGACGTGAGTACAATGAACCCCTGCCTGTGTTCCCTGTGATCATCCAGCACACACACTGACTGCTGATGACTGGTATTATTACACATATAGATATTACACATAACTCACTGTTTAATGTTATAACTCAATATTTAATATGTTATAACTCACTGTTTAATATTTAATAACTCACTGTTTAATGTGTAATAACTCACTGTTTAATATGTTATAACTCACTGTTTAATATGTTATAACTCACTGTTTAATATGTTATAACTCACTGTTTAATGTTATAACTCAATATTTAATATGTAATAACTCACTGTTTAATGTTTTATTAATAATTACTAACTCACAGTCCTCAGAATCAGTCCCTAGTGATTTTGTCTTGATCTTATTTATATATAGATGTAAGCGGTTTGTTACCTTTCAGCGTGTCAGCCTGTAAATATGGGAGCAAATGAATAATGACATGTTGCTAAAGGCAGAGAATGAATTGAGTATTACACACAAAGTTTAAAGTGTGTGCTTTTTGTGCCAGCTGTTATTTTGGGTATTATAAAAGTTTCCCCTCGTATTATTCAATATCAGACGCACTGAGACAGGCTTGGTCCCAGAATGCATCACTGTGAGTCTGGTCCGGAGCTGGAAAGTGAGCGTAACATTTCCCTCTGGGGTCTATGGGGTCTATGGGGTCTATGGGGTCTGGTCTATGGAGGTCTATGGGGTCTATGGGGTCTATGGGGTCTATGGAGGTCTATGGGGTCTATGGGGTCTATGGGGTCTATGGTGTCTATGGGGTCTATGGGGTCTATGGGGTCTATGGGGTCTATGGAGGTCTATGGGTCTATGGGGTCTATGGGGTCTATGGTGTCTATGGGGTCTATGGGGTCTATGGAGGTCTATGGGGTCTATGGGGTCTATGGAGTCTATGGGGTCTATGGGGTATATGGAGGTCTATGGGTCTATGGGGTCTATGGGGTCTATGGGGTCAGGCACTGATCAGATCAGTTCAATGGAGTGGGGACAGATCATTACTAGAGCCAACAGGAAGTGGTTTGGAGCAGCTGGACGCGTCTCTTTGATTCCACATGTGTCTCTGTATGAAAGGAGACATAAAGACTTGTTGGACAGTGGCTTGTAGAAAGGTTTTTTCCAAAGTGAGAGAAATGTTTTGATCTCATAATTGATCCTATCCTTTTTCTCCGTAGCTCAAAGCACACCTTGCAGCTCAGACATTTGAGGAGATGAGACGATGCTGTTTTGGAGCGAAAGCCTTCATATTGTAGTTCCTTCATGAATGCTGTCTTTTTGTTTTTGCAGGTGAAGATCGGCAATAAGGTTGAAGTTTGTTTCAAAAATGACCAATCTGAGGACGACACTGACTGTATGATGACCAACGACGGGGTGGCTTCAGACAATCTGGAATACACTATAAAAACACAGTCAGTTACCCCTGACCCTTCTCTTGTTAACATCAACACCCAGTCACAGGGTGACATTTTTTTAAAGTTCAAAAGTGGTGCTACAAATGATGTGAGTCCTGATCCGATCCCTGTTACACACTGACTGGCTGTCCAGCTGTTTGTACAAAATGAACATTTCAAAGACATTGTGTGGCAAAGACAACTTCAAATCAAAGTTTATTTGTAAAATGTTGGAAGCATTTCCTAATATTTCTCTCTCTGTTCCTGCTTTCAGGTTGTTTGGGCATTCTACAATTATGGTTTACAAGCTGCTTGCGCGATATATTATGATGCTGGCCGTCCGTTTTCTGCTAGTTTAGTAAGTATGACATGAGGCTGTTACCTAACCCTAACCCTTCAGCCTCACCGATGTTTAGAGTTACCATTTGTCAGGTCCCGATACCAATGCAATGTGCTCCTGTTTGTTTCTGTGTGCCAGGGAAACTCATATCCTAAATGCTTTCTGTTGGAAAGCTGCTGTCTTCCAGCCTTCCTCACACTCACTCTGAAAGAGAACTGATCCCTGAGAAGACTTCTGTACCCTAACCACCCTGAGAAATGAGAACTGAGGCTGTGTGTGATCCATTATTCCTTTGTATCACTATCAGACATCATTCATATGAATACAGAACCAGCTTTTAGTTCAGCATGGATAGGTGAATGGAGAAGATACAGTGCAGTCTGTTTGCTCCTCTCAGCCTCTCCTTTGAAAACTCTCTTCTTATTTTCACTTCTAAACAGAGATAGGTGTCAGAAATAATGTCATACACAGCCTTAGAGTTTCAGGAAGCAGAAGTCACTCAGCATCATGTGTTAGCATGAAGACAAAGAGAGTTCTTATCAGTGACACATGTAGCTGCTAGCATGCAGAGCTAACGGGGGCAGGCTGGACTCACAGCACCAGGGGCTGGTGGTTCTGCTCCTTCCTGCCCTCAAGTGGACAAAGGAGTTCATTAGAAATATCAATCTGGAATAATGAAGGAGCTCACCACTGCTCTCACTGTTACTTCATGTCCTAACATCGGAGGAAATATATCAGAAGTGGCATCTATAGAACGCTTTCATTCATGTGTACAGTGTTGAGGTTACCTTTGTTTTCACTGATTGTATTTACTTGTTATTTTAAATGTGTTTTTAAGGTTCAAACATCTGTCCAGGGACTACAGATGTAAAAGAGCCTCTTGGCTAACTCTTTTACAGAAATGGTTCTTAGTGTGCAATGTCCCTGTTAAATACATAATATACATACAAATACATTCTGTTTAATCCTTTACTAGAACATTTCTACAACAGTCGGTGGCACAGTGATGGTGACCTGGCAGCCTCATGATTTGACTCCAGGAACATATACTTTTCAAGACCTGAGTGGATGCAGAGGCTCAGGTAAGCTGGTCTGGGGGTTCCCACAGAAAGGGATCCTCTAAGTTAAATGTTTCCCTATCTTAAATTCTGCCTGTAGTTACTGAAGTGTAATATCATTACCTCCATTCTCCTCCAAGGTGGCGCTGTAATGCCGGGTTCAGAGATGCCTAATTTAGGGCCCTGCTCTACTGGAGTCTGTTCTCTGTCTGCAGTCATCTCTAATGTCACTGCATGTGGGCCCGAGGAGGTTTGCCAAGCGGACAACACGTAAATATGTGCTCTTTATATCAGGAATAAAGGTCTGACTGATTTGAATAAAGTGTCCCATGTGATCGAACCCTCCATGAGAGAGTGAGGATATTATCCACCTGAGGATTATTGCAGTTATTGATGAATCTGTTCCTATTTCTATTACCCCTTTCCACCAAAGCAGTTCCAGAGTCAGTTCAGAGCTAGTGCCCGATAGCTCTCCAGTCCTTTCATTGTTTCCATGAGCAAAACTGGTTCGTGTTAGGAACCAGAGCACTGCTGAACTGGAACCAAGAACCAGATCTGTGTGGAGGCTGGGTCAGATCACTAGAGCCGTAGAGATACGTTCGCTCTCACGGCCCGTTTTGAGGAGCAGCACGACCCGTTCTCCTGTTGTTTTCATACCAGCTTTCAGGTGTGATCACTACATACTGTAGGCTACACAAGTTTTCATATCAGCTTTCAGGTGTGATCACTACATACTGCAGGCTACACAAGTTTTCATATCAGCTTTCAGGTGTGATCACTACATACTGCAGGCTACACAAGTTTTCATATCAGATCACAAGTGAAATCCTATTGAAAGAGCGCCGGTAGAAAACGGAAAATGACTCAATGATAGCAACATGTACTCATACAAAGCATTTATGGTGAATAATTAAAACGCCGTAACCATCTAATGTTCATATCATGTGTTATATATTTTAAATACGTTTAATTTAGTTTGTTGGCTCTTAATCTGGTTATTGCTTCTTCAGACTGGCTATGCTAACATCATCCATATGATACAGGGAAACGTTTGGCAGTTAACGTCAAACATTGTACATTAAAACTGAACAAAATATGAATCACTGGGGAAATCTGCATCTGTTGCTTTAGTGACAGTCAGCAGTGAATTACTGACTGTCACTAAAGCAACGGTGAATGCCTCTGAATCCTAGTGGGAACAGTTCAACCTGGATCTGAAGAAGAGCAACAAGAGCACAGCTCCAATGCAGCCCGCCATTGTTGTAGTTTTTGCCTAAGCTGGCTTTGCTGAAAAATAAAGGGACGTAAACAGTGCTGTCAAATGAACAGGTCATTGGTCCAACATTGAGAACCAACCGTCCGAACTAACACGGTTCTCATTTCAGTGGAAAGGGGTTTTAAGTCCATCCATTATTGTTTCTGATCAGCTGGAGAATGGTTCAGTCTATAAATCCTAAAAAACGTTCTCCACTTATTTCCCATTGCACTTGTTTGACATGGTGGGCCTCATGACGGACACTTTATGAAAAGAGATCCAGATGGATGCACAGCGTCTCGGTGTGTGTGCAGTGTTCCTATAAAGTGATCCTTTGACTTATCCTCCATGCTTTACACATGTTTCAATCCTCCCAGGCGAGCTCCATCAGTGTTGTAGTGTTGCGTCCATAAATCAGACCAAACCGCAGATATCCGGGTTGTCCCAAGTAGAGTTGAGCTGCAACATTACCCATAATGCAACATATTGCCATTTCTACACTGTAGCTTTGTTCATATGACAATAAAACCTTTGAATTGAATGTTGAATTGAATGTCCATCAGGTGCGCTGAGGCTCCTGAGGCTCCTAAGGCTCCGGTGGTGTGCACGGTGACGGGCTCCACGGTGATCGGTTTCCACGGAGCAGTGCACTCTGTCCAGGATCGCTGTGCCTACAGTCTGATGGAGCCTGAAGGCAGCGCCAGCTTCAACCTCATGGCCGCTTTCAGGGAGCGCCGGCGTACAGATGTTCCTCTTCTGGACCACCTGATCCTGTCGCTGCCAGGTGTGACCATGTATCTGGAGCAAGGAGGAAGAGTTCGGGTGAGGAAGAGCAGGGCACAGGGTGGGGGGGGGGGGGTTGATCACTTTGTGTTGCTGTATTTAATGTTCACTCACTTTGTAGAGCAGCACCAAATAGAAAAACTACATTCATTCTAAAAACCTGTGTGTGTGTGTGTGTGTGTGTGTGTGTGTGTGTGTGTGTGTGTGTGTGTGTGTGTGTGTGTGTGTGTGTGTGTGTGTGTGTGTGTGTGTGTAGGTTGGTGATGAAGCTCTGGAGCTCAACAGCACGGCTCAGCAGCATCACGGCGTGGAGCTCTCCAAGGACCAGGCTGGAGTCACTGCTAAGTTACCCAACTCCAACATGACTCTCTATTTTGATGGCAACACTGCACATGTGTCAGGTACTGAGCAATGAGCACGAGAAGTGGCTGCTTCATTTCCCATCGACAGGGATTCTTAGAGATTTCTAATCTGAACAAGTCACAGTTCCCAGCTAGCATGACGCTAACAGAAATATTCTATAATTTACCTGTCTGAGGAATCGACCTCAGTTTAGAAAGAAGGCCCATCTGAAGGGTCTTACATGTAATGACACTCAATATCAGTCAGGGCATTTAAACACATTTAGTGGTATTGCATTTTCAATCATGTTAACATATATCTTGAACTTTATTGATTTGTCTTTATTGTCTCCTCACATCCACCAGGAATTGAAGCTATGGAGGGTTTGTGTGGCAGCCCGTTAAACTCCACCTGGACCACTACCCCGATAGCAGAGAAGTCCTCTTCCTTCAGCCCCCCCGGGTACCCCTTACTCTGACTGATATCAGCTGTTTATAATGATATGATCCTCTTCCCTCAGACCCCCCGGGTACCCCTTAGTCTGACTGATATCAGCTGTTTATAATGATATGGTCCTCTGTCTTCAGACCCCCCGGGTACCCCTTAGTCTGACTGATATCAGCTGTTTATAATGATATGGTCCTCTTCCTTCAGACCCCCCGGGTACCCCTTAGTCTGACTGATATCAGCTGTTTATAATGATATGGTCCTCTTCCTTCAGACCCCCCGGGTACCCCTTAGTCTGACTGATATCAGCTGTTTATAATGATATGGTCCTCTTCCTTCAGCCCCCCCGGTACCCCTTAGTCTGTCTGATATCAGCTGTTTCTAATGATATGGTCCTCTTCCTTCAGACCCCCCGGGTACCCCTTAGTCTGACTGATATCAGCTGTTTCTAATGATATGGTCCTCTTCCTTCAGACCCCCCGGGTACCCCTTAGTCTGACTGATATCAGCTGTTTATATTGATATGGTCCTCTGTCTTCAGACCCCCCGGGTACCCCTTAGTCTGACTGATATCAGCTGTTTCTAATGATATGGTCCTCTTCCTTCAGACCCCCCGGGTACCCCTTAGTCTGACTGATATCAGCTGTTTATAATGATATGGTCCTCTTCCTTCAGCCCCCCCGGGTACCCCTTAGTCTGACTGATATCAGCTGTTTATATTGATATGGTCCTCTGTCTTCAGACCCCCCGGGTACCCCTTAGTCTGACTGATATCAGCTGTTTCTAATGATATGGTCCTCTTCCTTCAGACCCCCCGGGTACCCCTTAGTCTGACTGATATCAGCTGTTTATAATGATGCGTTATAGGTTTAAAATGTGATGTTTGTCTCCCTCTAGCTGTGAGATTCAGCAACAAGACACCATCGACAGCTCCATCAACTGCAACAGCTCAACTGACCAGTAAGATCTGAGCCATAAAGACACTAAACACTTACACATTCATCCTGTAAAGCACGGTCACATGAGCAGGGATGTTTCTGGAAGGTGAACTCACGTAACACTGTTCAGAGCACTGACCCCCCCCATCTTCCCCTCTGAACAGCTGTAATCTCATGAGGCAGCCTCCCTTCTCCGCCTGTCACGAGCACACCGACCCAGAGCCGTTCATCAGCGCCTGCACACACACTCTGTGCAGATACCCGTCAGTGGATGGGGTCGACTGCCACTTTTTGGAGGCTTACGCCAAGGCCTGCAGCCTGGAAGCCAACGTGACCCTGGAGGACTGGAGGTCAACTTCTGGCTGCTGTAAGACCCTCTTTCAACTCACTTTTAATATTGTCAGAGGGGTGCTATGATCAGCAAAAGGGACCTTTACAAATAGTTAAAGCATTCACACTGAAGAATTACATGTAAGCAGAATTCTAATGTTCGTTCCTAATGTTTTTCATCTATTATATGCTGGTCTTTGAGAATTGTTATCATCTACTCCTCATGTCTTATGCTGTGTTGTGGTGAGGCATCTTTGTGACGCCCGCTTGGGAAGGTGCTTTATAATTATAGCTCTTTACTATGTCTAACTTTTACTGTGTGTGTGTGTGTGTGTGTATGTATGTGTATGTGTGTGCAGCCCCCCCCCCTCTCTGTCAGCAGCCCTGCAGTGATCATGAGTTCTGTGGAGCAGAGATGTGGTCGTCGTCTCGCTGCTTCTGTCGGGCTGGGTTCGCCTCCAAGTACAGAGCCACCAAGTCTTTAGGTACGGAGCTGGAAGAGAGGCGCTCCTGAACGCATCACATGTTCTTTAAGACCCTTAGTTACTGATAACATCGCTGACATTATCCTCCCAGTATATTTCATCCTGACCAGAGCTACGGAATATGCTAGAACTGAACAGAAGAGCATGTATGATGATACACCTAAAGGATGCACATAGACTTTAGTTATCCAAACATCTGGCAGCTGTTTGTCTCTTTGGCAGAAAAACATATTTTTGAATTTAATTAGAAACGGTTGTTGCCTGGATCATATCCCAGAATAAGATAACTCTGGCAGAGTCCATGTTGAAGTGTGGGTGTGTTGAAGTGTCGGTTTGTCATTGAAGTGTGGGTGTGTCGTTGAAGTGTCGGTGTGTCGTTGAAGTGTCGGTGTGTCGTTGAAGTGTGGGTGTGTCGTTGAAGTGTGGGTGTGTCGTTGAAGTGTCGTTGTGTTGCAGGCGATCCCACGGTCTGCAGGCAGGACTCGGCCTCTGTGGTTCTGGCTGGATGTCTGCTGGACGACAAAGGCATCGACTTCTCCACCTTACAGCTCAAAGACCCCAGCTGCAAGGGCCACATGGACCCCCAGAGCCACCTGGTGACCTTCAGCTTCGACAGCAGCGCCCCCTGCGGGACGGAGGTCATGGTGCGTGGTTATCACTTCCTCTAGACTCATGGCGGGTTATTTTCAGAGCGTCTTTGGGCAAACGAGAAGCATTTAAAGCTGCTTTAACTGAGTCCTGTTGGTTATTGACACCTGCAGCACTCAGAAGAGCTGGAAGATGGTTCTGCCTCTTTATGATCGATGGAAGGGAAGGCACAGGCTTCAGTCACCCTGTTTAACTTGAATACTTAAATACTGGGAGAGCATCTCCTCTAGTTCCCTTTATTGATTATAGACCATGTGATTTATGACCTGGATGGTTTGGATCACTTTCTGATTTGAACAAAGCGTCCCATGTGATCGAACCCTCCATGAGAGAGTGAGGATATTATCCACCTGAGGATTATTGCAGTTATTGATGAATCTGTTCCTATTTCTATTACCCCTTTCCACCAAAGCAGTTCCAGGGTCAGTTCAGAGCTAGTGCCCGATAGCTCACCAGTCCTTTCATTGTAGAGCAAAACTGGTTCGTATTAGGAACCAGAGCACTGCTGAACTGGAACCAAGAACCAGATCTGTGTGGAGGCTGGGTCAGATCACTAGAGCCGTGTGATTTATGACCTGGATGGTTTGGACTGTGAACTCCAACACTGACCGCTCTCTGTCAGGATGGAACCGTCAGCAGTGAGCACTGGAATAATGTGGCCGCGGCCGTTAAATTAACTCACTTTCTGTCACATTGCAGAGAAACAACAGCCAGATCGTCTACAAGAACTCCATCAGGTCCTCGAACAGCTCATCAGGCGGAGTCATCACCCGCAGCGACCAGTTCCAGATCGACTTCTCCTGCAAGTACACACAGCCAGAGGTCAGGAGTGTGTCCTTCAGGATCAAAGACAGGTGAGCGTCACCTGGTCCTTAATGTACCACAGCTCCAAGCGTCACACTGCTAAACTGTGTGTGTGTGTGTGTGTGTGTGTGTGTGTGTGTGTGTAGCTCTGTGGTGCAGCAGCTTGTATCTGGAGTGTGGAACTACACTCTGACGATGAAAGCCTTCAGTGACGCCGGCCTCCTGCAGCCGGTCGGCCCGAACACGGAGATCCTGCTGAATCAGAAGGTCTGGCTGCAGCTGGAGGCGGGGGGGCTGGACTCCAACATGGTCGCCATGGTGACAGACTCCTGCTGGGCAACCAATCAGGCGTCACCTGACAGTAATCTGCGATATGACCTCATCATCAACGGGTGAGGAAATAAACTCTGAGACTGTTAGAACAGAATAAACTCTGACTGTTAGAACAGCATAAACTCTGAGACTTCATCTTGTGTATTTCCTGTCTCCGGGCAGATGTCCGAACCCTGCTGATGATACGGTGCAGATGCAGGGAAATGGACAGGGAACGTCCAGCGTTTTCTCCTTCAACATGTTCGAGTTCTCTGGAGCAAGCAGGGAAATCTACCTGCACTGCAAACTGGAGCTGTGCCCCACACAGGGCCAGGCCTGCGCTCCGGTAAGTTCTAATACACCTCAAGTAAAAGTACTCCTTATTCATGGTATTATATTACAAAAAAAAAGCTAACGTTAGGCTATAAAGGAACTTCAGCACGGTCACATGACTTCACGTCACCACCGCTAAGCTAAAGGAGGCTAATGTTGGGCTATAAAGGAACTTCAGCACGGTCACATGACTTCAAGTCACCACCGCTAAGCTAAAGGAGGCTAATGTTGGGCTATAAAGGAACTACAGCACGGTCACATGACTTCAAGTCACCACCGCTAAGCTAAAGGCGGCTAATGTCAGTGTATTTCATTAATTATTAACGGTCAACTATAGTTGGAATAATGTTTACAGTGGGACCCAATGAGTGGGGTTTAAAGTGAAAGCTAACTTCCTGTCTGTGAGGCTAATTTCCTGTCTGTGAAGCTAACTTCCTGTCTGTCTACAGAGCTGTGGGGGGGGTGCTCGCAGGAGGCGTAGATCTGCTAGATTTGCAGAAGGAAACGCTGCCCTCATCACGATGGCCTGGAGTAATTAAAGAGCCTTACATGGTACGACCTTCATTCATTTGAACTAATGACATCCTTGTTGAATGACTCCTATATAAATCATGACTCATCAGTTGTCCTGCTTGTTTCCTCAGATGATTCCCGACTTTGTCTCGATTAAAAAAAGCGGAAATCTCCAGAAAACGGATCATCTTGGTCTGAGATTATTCCTGATGATTCCAGTTATTCTGAGATGTAACTTCTTTATGGTGAAAAATAATCAAAAGGGTTTAGAGGGTTTGTTCTCGTATATATGATTTCTGCTTATATGTATTAATGACTTTGTATTATTAAATGTGCCCGGCCTGAAGCAGAGTTAGCTCAAGAAGGGAAACACTGAAGGGAAGGATTGAAATGTGGATTATCAAGTTAATGAAGTTAAAAGCTGTATTTCTCAGACCTGTGGGACCAATATTATGACTTTATTCTGCCCTTGCGTATGCATCGCACTGCATAGCTTAACAGATAGCGAACAAAGACTCAGAAGACAGTTGTTGAGTTGACCATTTACTGAGGCTTGATATTGTAAAACTGCAAGAATAAACAGAAAAATACAACACAAGTTACACAATTGAAATAATACATGTGCAACATAATGCAAATAGAGTGCAGTATAATCAACAGCCTATGCTAAGAATGAGCTATGTCCGTTAGCTTAGCAGCTAGTTAGCTTATCTTAAACATTGAAACTACACAATCAATTAAACTACATTTTAGAAACACATAACTTGGCACACAGGTAAGTTTGTATACTTACAGACAGATCTACTCCAAGGATTAAAACAAAATGATCTGTGGCATAGAACTGAGCTACGATGTGCTCTGCATGGCTTTGCTGTGTAAACTAAACACAAGGAGAGTCGCGCTATTTGGTGCCTTAAAGCTACAGTACCGACTTTTGTCAGAACACTCCCCGCTTGGTAAATCTTTTTACCACTATTTACATCTCTTTACCCTTGGTATCAGTAACACCACATCGCTGATGGGCCTAAGATACTCTTTAGCTGTCCCTTGACCTAAGGTCTTCACCATGACCTTTCGCACCTTGCAGTCCGAACTTGGAATGGCCTTTACTATCAGACCAAGAGGCCAGTCATTACGTTGTGCTTGAACGTCCTTTAACAAAACAACGTCACCGTCCTGGAGATTAGGCTGCTCCTCAGTCCACTTCCTCCGAGGCTGAAGAGTTGCCAGATACTCCTGCTTCCACCGTTTCCAGAAGGAGTTCGCCAAGCTCTGGACCTGGCGCCACTGTACCTTACATAGGTGATCCAGTTCAAAGTCCCCCGGGGGTGTGGGTGTCACACTCGCCTTCTGGGTTAGAAGAGTAGCAGGTGAGAGTATCTCAGGAAGGTCTGTATCATAAGAGATGGGAACCAGAGGCCTGGCGTTCATGATGGCCATAACTTCAGCCATTAAAGTGGCCAGGACTTCATGGGTCAGTTTATCCTTATTCTTCAACAGCAGTGCATCAAGGACCCGTCGAGCCACACCAATCATCCTCTCCCAAGCTCCACCCATATGTGAGGAATGAGGTGCGTTAAATATCCATGTACAACCATGGTCTTGCAGATAGTCCTTGATCTCAGGATCGTCCGTGTTTATCTGAAGCTCTCTGCATGCTCCAATAAAGTTTGTGCCTCTGTCTGACCTGAGGTGTTTGACAGGTCCACGAATCGACAGGAAGCGCCTCAAGGCATTAATGAAACTTGAGGTGGACATGGTTTCAATAACCTCCAAGTGAACAGCTCTCATACTGAGACATGTGAAAATGACTGCCCATCTTTTACTCAGCAGCACCACCTCTTGTGCGACGAGTTATCACACTCCATGGACCAAAGACATCAAGCCCTACATGTGTAAAAGGTGGATCCATGGACAGTCTGTCAGCAGGCAGATCGGACATTTTCTGAACCTCAAACTTGCCTCTCAACTTCCTGCAGATGACACATTTGAATATTATACTCGAAATGAGCCTCTTCCCTCCTACTATCCAGACACCGGCAGTGCGCAGTGCGCCCTCTGTTAAATGGCGACCTTGGTGAGCTGCTTGATCATGATAGTGTCGGACTAAGAGAGTGGCAACATGATGACTGGCTGGCAGGATGAGTGGATGTTTCTCTTGGTCTTCCAATTGGGCTTTATGGATGCGACCCCCAACTCTCAGCAATCCATCCTTGTCAAGAAATGGGTCCAGTTTCACAAGAGAGCTGTGGCTATGAACATTAATGCCCTGAGTTGCGCAGTCCACCTCGTTCTTGTAAACATCCTGCTGCACTGCCTTCAAGATGATTGTTTTGGCCTGAGAGAGCTCTGAGGTGTGTGACTGTTTGCAGTGATGCCATCCATTGCACTCTACAGTGTGAGACTTGCTGGAATAGGACTTGGCTACATGAATGAGTGTTGCCATACCTCTTACTAGAGCCTTCCAAGTAGAGAAATGTTTGAACCGTTGTGATTCGAGACTCTGCTCTGTGACCTTGGTTACAAGAGAGATCACTTGAGGATACATTTCTTTATCAGTCTCTGGTTGCACAAGTTAAAATGATTCAGTCTTATTTTCTTGCTCTGTGTCTGGTCTCCTTCTGAATGAGCGCTGGAGAGAGGAGAGACGCTGCAAGGCATGTTCCCTGTTATTAGGAAGGGGCTTGCGGGGGAAGCGCAAGGGCAGTGGTGCCACCCAGTGGTTTTCATCATCCATATACACCTCATTTTCCATGGTTCGGAGAAAGACCTTGTCATCCACAGACAGAGCTGGTTTGTCGTCATCGGGTGTTTTTCGAAACACACTTTCTCTTATACAATCTAAACTTCCATTAAGGATGTTTTCCAGGCTGTGAGATGGGGCTGGAAGATGATGCTTGGCTGGACCATTTAACCTCTCCTTCACCTGAATGCTGTTTGTGCACGGCTTAAGAAAGGATGGGCGTCCATTTTGAACGACATGGGTCTTGTAGACGTTGACATTGTTTGAATTGTGAGTCCCATCCAGGCATATTTCTCCAACTATGACCCAGCCAAGGTCAAGGCGCTGGGCGTAGGGTGAGTCGTGAGGCCCGTTACACTGTTCACGCACCTTATGTAGACGCAGAATGTCTCTTCCGAGCAGAAGGAGAATAGGAGCATTGGTGTCGAGGGGAGAAATCTTGTCAGTCACTTGCCTGAGGTGTGGAAAATACTGTGTGATCTCCGGAGTGGGAATCTCTGACCCAAATGCAGATTTCCAAGAATATTCCTTTAATCCAAGGTAACAAAGTAGACCACAGAACACTACCCTGTGACACAGTCTAAGACAAACAATGAACCAACAATGACAGACAGAAAAACCAGAACTAAAATACACACAAGACCAATCACACAAACAAGACACAGGTGAGGAGGGAGGAGAAAACACAGGGGCACCAGGTGAACACAATCGGGCAATCAGGCAGGAGGGAACACAGAGACAGGAAGCAACAGGCAAGACGGGGGGGTGAACACTTTTCAAAACAAAACAGGAAACCAAAGACAGAAAAAGACAAGACAAAACACAACACAGACAGATCGTGACACTGCATGGCTTTGCTGTGTAAACTAAACACAAGGAGAGTCGCGCTATTTGGTGCCTTAAAGCTACAGTACCGACTTTTGTCAGAACAGACTTTATTCATATTAGCAACTCATTTATCCGTGATTTAGACCATGATTCATGGAACATATGTACTCGATTTTTAACTTTACCATGTTTACATATTAGTGAAGTGTCTACTGAAGAAAAATAATCATAAAAGGGTTTAATTTACAATGTAATCTCTTGTTTACCATCCTATTTAAATGTGCCCAGCCTGAAGCAGAGTTAGTTTAAGAAGGAAAACACTGAAGGGAAGGATTGAAATGTGGATTATCAAGTGAATGAAGTTAAAAGCTGTATTTCTCAGAGCACGCTGTGGGACCAATGTTTACTACGTCCAGCGCTCTTTCTTTCCCCATGTTCCAGTTCTCTGGAGGAAGGAGTGAAATGTACCTGCACTGCAAACTGGAGCTTATTGCTATCAGCAAATCAGAATCACAACAACATATAATAAAGGGAGTGGATAAAAACAAGAGCTTCTGTCTTTATTCATCTTGTGTGTGGAAATGAACCGAGACAAACTAACACATAATAATGAAATGGTGAGGAAACCTTTCCGTTATACTGAAATGAAGATTCTTGAAATAAGACAATCTTTTAGAGTTTATTCTCACAAGAAGGTAAAACGATAAAGGCAAGGCACGTTTATTCATACAGCACTTTTCATCACGAGGCAATTCAAAGTGCTTTACGAGACATTAAGAGCATTAAGAAACATATCATGCAATGACATTTAAAAGCACTCGTTAAAAGCAAAGGAACATGAATTAAAGTCACAGTGTGAGACACGTCTGAAATGTTGAGCTCTGACTCTCAATCATTGCTCACTTTGTAGCAGAAAGAGTTTCCTTTGACCTCCCTTTCTTTCTACTTTCTTGTTTAACTTGTCCTTTAGATATTTCAAGTGTTTCCTGCTGAACGGATCCCCTTTGGAAAATTATAATCTGACCCCATGGTACCTTGTAGTTTTCACTGAAACGATTCCTCTTTTGAGTTTCAAGCCGTCTGCGAAGTACAGAAGCCAGGAGATTTGCAAAGGGTCTTATATTCACAGAATCAGACACAAAGGGAAGAAGAGGGGTGGTCAAGGAGTCCAGGAAACATCTTCTTGCTGCATGGAGAGCCTTAGGCCCCGTCCACACGGAGACGATATCAGTTGTATCCGCTAACGTTCTCTATGCTATAGACGGTTCGTCCACACGAGGCCGAAACGGAGCCGCGGCTTCGGAGCCCGAATCCGATACACTTTGATAACGGCTCCCAAAGTGGGTAAGTCTGGAGACGAAACTCTGTGTGTACGCCCTATACCAGACGTGTCAAACTCAAGGCCCGCGGGCCAAATGTGGCCCGCCACGTCATTTTATGTGGCCCGCGAGAGCTCGCAAAGAATATAAACAGTTTATTATACGGTTACATGCCGTTTAAGCACGTTGCCCATAAACAGCATGTCCCAAAATGCATTTCGTTTTGTGACGTGCGCACTGAAGCGACTTCCTATCAGCAGCGGCACTCTGAGGCGGTGAGTGACCAGTGTGTGACTGTGAGTGACACAGAGTTGAAGGAACATAATTTACAGCGGCACAGAGACACCAAACACGGAGCAAAGTCTGCTTCAGCAACCGAGACAAGCAACTCCAGTCCCAGAACAAACAGACAGAATGACCCGCTCTTTAAGAATCAGTCGGTGTTGCTGCGGCTCAGAGACACACATGGATTTATTATGTTTTAGAAAAACTCGCGTTACGGTTATTTCCGGTTTCTGGTTGATTAAAATATATGAGGTCTTGGCTTGCAGAGTATGAACGTCTTTTTGCTATATTCAGACGATAAATACTTATAAATACTTGTGTAAAGTTTGTAAAGGAAGGAGGAAAACTTCCGCGATCCCTGTCCCCTCTCACTCTGTTCCTCCTCAACACGCCGCCGCCCCCCCCCCCCACTCACTGCTTACTGAAATAGTGAGTGACAGGTGATAGTAACACAGCAGGATCTGGGACAGGGGGTTCTCAAAGTCTTGGCTTTCAGACTATTAAAATATTATTGCTGAATTCAAATGAAATATAGCCTACTTAAATAATGCTTGATATACAAAAGAAAAATACTTTATTATTCACAAAAAATAGATTTCACAAACATTGTATCTCTTTTTGATAAGATATGATGAGGCTAACTAAATTTCATAAATTCATGGGATTTATGTAACAGTAAGAGAGTGAAATGTTAGTCTGAGCCCACATACAGTATTTTTGTGTCTACGTGCACAATACATTAATGCACAACCATGTGCTTTCAGACGTAGTTATTGCCAAAACCAATAATACTCCAATGCAGAGGCAATATTGTTATACAGTATAAAACATTATTTTGATATTTATATATGTATATTTATATAGTGTTAAAATTACAACCGGCCCTTTGAGGGCAACCATAATGCTGATGTGGCCCGCGATGAAATTGAGTTTGACACCCCTGCCCTATACGATCAACTCCTGAAACGATGACGCCATAGCCCCACCTCTCCTGCTCACCCCCGCGTCACCCAACAACAACAATGGCGGATCACAGGGTTGTGTTCGTGCTCCAGACGCTACTGACCATGATACAGATGTTAGTGCAAAAATCTACAGCTCCTCTACCACAACCATCAGCAACAATAATAATATAATAATAATAATAATCGTCATCGGTCTTTTTCCGCTGCTTTTGGTGTATTTTGTGGCGGAAGTACAGCGCCACTTATAGGCCCGGCATATGTACTACAGTGCCTCCAGCGGATCGAGCGTTTTCGTGTGGACAGAAGACTTTTTTGAAAACGACTTCAGTTCGTTTTCGTCTCCGTTTCGTCTCTGTGTGGTCGGGGCCTTAATGTCTGCATTCCTTAGACCAGCGGTTCCCAACCTTTTTCAACTCAGGGCTCACTTAAGAATCTAAAAAAAATGTGCGGCCCACATTCAACACTACGGAGGCTAAATGAAGTTCTCAGAGTACATTTTATTTTTAATTAGAAAAGGATCTGGCCATCAGTAACAAACAGACATTTTTAATACACGGTTTAGTTGAATACTCGATTCTGATTGTCAGGCGGCCGCAGCTCACAGCCAAAGTGCGAGTGAGCGTGGGAGCGAGCGAGGGAGAGAGAGAAGGGCGCACCGGTACCGGCGCTGTTGTTATTAGCATCTGGTGCTAGCTGCTCTAACGGATATAAGAAGAAGATGTTTCTACAATAATGTGGAGGGAGAGTCCTCTCCAGTCAGACTGAGAGGCTGATAACTACAGCTCAGTGAGGTGAAGGACTCTGAGTGTTTAGATACAATTTATGTAAACACATATTTCCAAGGCACTCCTTTATAATTATTGGGATAAATAACAACAGGTTTGAAATCATTCCATATACTATAGGACAGTAAACCAAAGATATCCTTTAAAACTGGAGAGATCAAAAAATATGCATTAATAAATAAATGTTATCTAGGTAAAATAAGATTTTTGAGCGCCAGCTAAAATCTCGCCTAGGGCAGCAAATTGTCTAGAGCCGGCCCTGGCTACACACACAACTACTGCTACACACACAACTACTGCTACACACTGCTACACACACAACTACTGCTACACACTGCTACACACACAACTACTGCTACACACACAACTACTGCTACACACACAACTACTGCTACACACTGCTACACACACAACTACTGCTACACACACAACTACTGCTACACACTGCTACACACACAACTACTGCTACACACTGCTACACACACAACTACTGCTACACACTGCTACACACACAACTACTGCTACACACACAACTACTGCTACACACACAACTACTGCTACACACTGCTACACACACAACTACTGCTACACACACAACTACTGCTACACACTGCTACACACACAACTACTGCTACACACTGCTACACACACAACTACTGCTACACACACAACTACTGCTACACACTGCTACACACACAACTACTGCTACACACACAACTACTGCTACACACACAACTACTGCTACACACTGCTACACACACAACTACTGCTACACACACAACTACTGCTACACACACAACTACTGCTACACACTGCTACACACACAACTACTGCTACACACACAACTACTGCTACACACACAACTACTGCTACACACTGCTACACACACAACTACTGCTACACACACAACTACTGCTACACACAACTACTGCTACACACTGCTACACACACAACTACTGCTACACACACAACTACTGCTACACACACAACTACTGCTACACACTGCTACACACACAACTACTGCTACACACACAACTACTGCTACACACTGCTACACACACAACTACTGCTACACACACAACTACTGCTACACACACAACTACTGCTACACACTGCTACACACACAACTACTGCTACACACACAACTACTGCTACACACTGCTACACACACAACTACTGCTACACACACAACTACTGCTACACACTGCTCCACACACAACTGCTACACACACAACTACTGCTACACAGAAGCTGAACACACACAACTACTGCTACACACACAACTACTGCTACACAGAGTGTGCAGGCTCTCTCTCGAGGAGCAGGCTGATGGCATATAACTGTGCCAATGTTTTGACACTAAATTGTATGTTCGATTTTCAAATGCATTTTAATGCACCTAAAACTCCTAAATAGAAAATAGAAAATGTTTCAAAGGGGGTACATTACTGAAAAAAGTTTGAGAACCACTGGTCTAGAGAATTTGAGCGGCTCTTATCATGGCTGCCACTGAGGGACTTCCGGGTCATTTCACTCCGTTAGGAAAGCTCTTAAGATAAACTGACAATTCGACCGCAGCCACGCTTCTGCCTCGTGTTGCTGTGTTGGGAAACATCTCTTCCGTTTCTTCTTCTGTTACGTAACAACACAACACTCCTTCGATCTTATTGGCTCATTTATGTGACCGTTAATTCATCGAGCCAATTAAAACCAAGGTTGCGGTTACAATTACAATTCGACCGCAACCTTGGTTTTAATTGGCTCGATGAATTCTCCCTATCCACTATCCCTTAACCCTGTGACGCTTCAAGGTTCAAGGTTCAAGGCTTTTATTGATCATATATTATGACGATGAAAATCTTAGGTCGACTTTTTCTCATAATTTTGACTTTTTCTCAGATTTCTGACTTTTCTCATAATTTTGACTTTTTCTCATAATTTTGACTTTTTTATCAGATTTCATAATTTTGACCTTTCTCAGTCTCAGAGTCTCAATATTTTGACTTTTCTCAGATTTCTGAATTTTCTCATCATTTTGACTTTTTCCCAGAATGTTGACTTTTCTTGGATTTTTTCTGAAGTTTGACTATTTCTCAAAATGTTGATTTTTTTTTTAAGGTTGCGGTCGAATTGTAATTGTAACCGCAACCTTGGCTCGATCAATTCTCCTATCCACTATAGAGTGGCGAAGTCACGCCCATCTACTTCCGGTCCATGGGACCTTATTTCGGAAAAATAATGTATTGAAGTCAATGGAGAGAGAAAACGTATCTTTCGATCCCGTTTGAATTGTGCCATGAATTACACATATGATGTTTGTCAATCTTAAAAAATAATTTCCTTGTCAAAAAAGTCACAGTTTGTCGTAAAACTGTTGAAATATAAAACTATGAAAAATACGCAACTAGAAAGACTACAAATCCCAGAGTCGCGTAAGTGATGTCACAATTGTTTTCCTCCACTAAGAGATAGCTAAGATCAGCGCCATATAGATATAATCTATCTATCTGGCGCTGGCTAAGATAAGATAACTTTAACAAGATGCCTGTGTGCTTAGTACCAGGTTGTTATCATACCAGCAATGGGTCTTGCTCGTTCTTTTGCTTCCCGTCTGATGAAAGGACCAGGAGTGGCTTGATCAAGTTAGCTACCTAGCTAGTAGCTAGCACGTTAGTTAGCATTACAGCCTTGTCATTTTTATTAGCCTTAACATGAAGTAACATTAAGTAACCCAAAATGTTAAACAGTAAGAGTAGTAGTCATATTTCGTGAACCCTTTGAAGAGTACTGTCACCGGTGTGATCATTCTATAATACACAATTTAAGCCCGGGGGAGAAATGCTAACGCTAACGCTAGCATCGGCGATCGGGATCTTTTCTACTTCATGCTATCTGCACAAATGGTTGAAATTAAAAAGGCCAGGCAGTTCAGAGAGAATCAAAGGAAGGCAGGCAGGCAGCTTTGCATGACATTCTTCTGGACGTGTTTCATTGTGGTGATAGTGAGGGTAGTCAATCGTTTTGTTGACAAGACAGTAGTGACGGCCATCTTGGTGACGTGTGTTGTTGACCAGAGATGTAGTTCATTGAGCGTTTCACACAAACAAATGTGTTACTTCACAGTTTTACGACACATTTTATTTTTTTTGACTTGCAAAATTATCTTTTAAATTGACAAACATCATATGTGTAATTCGTGGCACAATTCAAACGGGATCGAAAGATAATCTTTCTCTCTCCATTGACTTCAATACATAATTTTTCCGAAATAAGGTCCCATGGAGGTCCACCGGAAGGGGAGGGACTTCGCCACTCTATCCCTTAACCCTGTGACGCTTCAAGGTTCAAGGCTTTTATTGGTCATACGTACAGAGCTCCAGTGTAGTTATGACGATGAAAATATTAGGTCACAGGCTCCTCCAACAGAGCAACACAATAACACTGACAATCAGAAAAAATACTGCAAGTAAATACAAAAAGAAAAATAGTAAAATAGTGAAATAGTGCAATAAGAGTCTACAAGTGATTGGAATATGATATATTAGATAAATAATGTCTAAGTTGCAGCCAGATGAATGTTATGGATGTTGTTTCAAAAGTTCACACGTTTCACACAGAGGTCAAGGAATAGTGGATAGGAATAGACGATAGGAGCTGATTTTTGGACAATTCTACCGCAACCCAAGATCCCGGTCCACCAAGGCGACCTGACACGAGCCAATGAGATTCAAGTGACGTCACAGCTCATATATAAACCCTTCCAGTGCCGTGTGCAGCCTCATCTTGTTGTTGGAGATGAAGAACAAGACGACGGTTGATCAGATAAAACACCGGGAAAAAAAATCTAATGATAGACTTATCGTTTCCCATAATAAGGTTTCCCGGGTCTGATCACAGCTGTTCCTCGTACTGGATGTGTATTTTGTACATTGTGTAACTTCTACTTCTATCTTTAATATCTTATGAATGCTTCTTCATTAATGCTAAGCTATTTTTGGCTCTTCTTTACGTGCTGTAACATGTACAAATGTCCGCTCTGTGGGACGAATAAAAGGTATGCTGTGTATGATTGGCTAATTTGTTTGACAGTTATTTTATTAAACCAATTAAAACCAAGATCCCGGTCCACGCGACCTCACACGAGCCAATGGGATTAAAGTGACGTCACGGCTCATATAAAAACCCCTCCTGTGACGTATGCGGCCTCATCTCGTTGTTGGAGGACGAAGAGCACGTCGACGGTTGAAACTAAAATAACCTCGAAAAAGCGGCGACATTTTGTTGTTTCCCTCCGAACAAGTGTCTCCAATGAGTTGACGGACTGTGTGCTGATGGTTCCCAGCGGGCTGCAGTAAGCTTCCAGTGGTTGTAATGGCGGATAAAGACGCCTGCAGGGAGTACCTCTCCTCTCTGGAGGACCTGACGTTCAACAGCAAGCCGCACATCAACATGCTCACCATCCTGGCCGAGGAGAACCTGCACTTCGCCAAGGAAATCGTGGCTATTATTGAAGCGCAAATCAGCAAGGTTTTTATAAAAAATATACATAGAATAACACCTCCAGATGTTTGTGTGTAACTTTAGGCCTTGTGTTAGCAACATGGCGGTTAGCACGAGCTAGCTTTCAGTGCCACATTCCGTTAGCATTGTTGTTAGCAACGCGGCTAGTTGCTTTTCTGTGTATTAAAGTGAGAAATAATCCGTTTATTAGTTATTTATTTGGCTCTTAGATATCGAAACATAGTGTTTTTAACAAGCTACATTTGTCGTAACTCGCGGTACTAATGTATAATGATCTCTAAGTTGCTTTTTGAGTTAAAATCCACCGTAAAATGGCGAAGTGAGGCCTAGTTTCTGTCATGTGTCATAATCATAGACTATATATAAAGGTCATAATACATTGTAGTTTTGGGACTTTTATAAAAATCTGTATTTTTAAAGATAGATGTATAGTTTATTGATCCCAAATTGGGAAACTATTTTGTATTTCAGTGTGTTTAGGCATTAACATATTTAACAAGTATAAACTTAATAAAGTAAAAATAGCACATATGAATATATCTACAGTAGAAAATACAAATAATACACGATATGAAATATAATAGTATATAGATAGGTACAACATTTAAACAAAGTAAAAACAATAAGTATATACACGTCTACAGTAGAAAAGACATGAAACGCACAGATAATAACATGTTGTAGATGTGTGTATTAAAGTGATCAGTAATCCATTTATAGGTTATTTAGTTGGCTTTTAGAAATCACAAACCACAGTGCCAATGTATAAGTATCTTAAAGTTGCTATCCAAGTTAAGTCCAATGTTCATTTAGACCTTATTTCTATTCAATTATATGAATATCTTGAAATGAAATGTGTTGTAGCCAAACACCTGTACACATATATACACTAAACTAAATATACTGGACACATTCATAGGGTACAGGTGTATACACAAGTACACAGCTTTACCAACATCCAAAACACAGAGCTATTGTAACGCTATTTTTCCTTAAGCCATGTTTTAAAACCACTATTGAAACATTTAAATAGTGTTCAATATTTAGTTCACTTAACACCGAGGTTTATTTGTTATTAAAAGTTGTATTGGTGTTAACTAATTCATCCAAAGTCACAACACACTGACGTAAAGTGCCCACAATATGCATATGGACGCTAAGCTTTTACAAAACAAATCACTATGATAAATATGGCTGTAATGTCTACTTGGTTAACGTCAAATAATTATACAGAAAATGACATCACTTAACATCAAATGCAGCCTTTAAAACAAGGAATTAACGACGTAGGGGTCATCTCACAATACCCTTAATATAGACATTATATACAGCTTTGTAATTGACTTAAAATCCATCCCTTCAAATATAGTTGTGTTGCTCAAATAGACGCCTAATGTCTGTATCCTTAGCACCGTGTTGTCCCTGTAACGCATTATAGAAAGACTCATGTGTTTGTATTACGGTGGATTTTGACTTGTGCAGCCGTCAGATTTATTTAAAGCATGCGTCACATTATCTCCTTCATATATCTGCTGATGTTCACTGTTAATAAAAACTGTCCACACACACACCTTTACTTAAAGCCCCTTCACAGTAACAGCAAGTCTTTAGTGAATCTTGATTTACTGAAATGTCATTGAATGGTTAAAATGTTTATAATAAAAAATGTGAAATGTGCTTTTTGTCATTTTTTATTTCCCAGTGTAATTTCTTGGTCCGGTGTCCAGTGTGTGATAAACGGTGTTAGCCGCTGCTCGCTATGACAGCACAGTTTAAACTCACTAAATGCTCACTGCTCCCTGAAGGGCTTTTTTCAAACAACCCTGCAAGGTGTTAAAACTTAACGAGGATAAAACTCACGTGTGTGAGAGTAAAGAGCGTCTGGGTAAAGTACAAAGAGCGGTTTGAAGAGCGCTCTTTGGAGGTAAACGGGTCACGAACACTTTTTGTTTTACCCACCGTGAACCTGACTGAAGAATTTTCTGAACGTTTTTTGGATTTTATCTCAAAGGACTTCCTGCATTTTGGTTCCCGACGAAGACTCTCTGGACTGATGTTTTTCCTCCTCACTGACTTTATTTTTCGACATTTTTATATTTTCCTCCACGCAGCGAGTTGTGATTTGATGTGAAATGTTTTGCATTTTAACCCCTTGTTGTTCTCTAAACTTGTCGAGTTCTCTATTGCTCCAGGCCCCGTCCGCCGAGAAGCTTCCCGTTTTGTACTTAGTGGATTCCATAGTGAAGAATGTTGGAGGAGAGTACCTTGCAGTGTTTGCTAAAAACCTAATCACTTCATTTATATGTGTCTTTGAAAAGGTACAGTTCTCTTTGCTGCTGTTTCAAATCACACATTCACATTAAATCTGTTTATTGTTGCTTCTTGTTTCCTCTCCTGCCCTCTGCGTATTAAAGGGGCCATTCACCCCAACATTAAAAAAAACTTTTACCTGATTAAAAATGGGCTGTCTTCTTCCATCAGTTGTGTGGGCTTTTCCTCAAATATAACCCCCCCCCCCCCCAAAAGATCTACAAATCATGCATTTAAGATAAACCACTTTCTTGTAGGGTCTATTTTCTCTCTGTGCAAAAGGAAACGCGCATTAACACAGGATCCCAAACACAAACACATTTCTGCTTAAAACAAACCTTTTTAAAATGTGTTTTCAGTCTAATTACTGCAGAGAAATCAGAAACCTCTCCAACGTCCACCAGTAAATGTAGAATAATAAAAAACCTTATTAAATAAGAGGATTGTTTTTTAATGTTGGGGTGAATTGTCTATATAACGCCTTGCTAATAAAAGGGGGAGGGTTTGTTAATGCTTGTCATATATAATGGAGCTAAGTGAGTGTTAGTGTGTGTTGCTCAGTGTGTGTGTTGGCGCTGGCCCACTGTGTGCTGTGTCTGCAGGTGGATGAGAACACCAGGAAGAGCCTCTTCAAGCTGCGCTCCACCTGGGAGGACGTGTTTCCTCTGAAGAAGCTCTACGCCCTCGACGTCAGGGTGAACAGCGTCGATCCTGCCTGGCCAATCAAAGCCCTGCCACCCTCAGTCAGCAACGCCTCCATACACGTCAACCCCAAGTTCCTCAAGCAGGTGTGTATCACACACACACACACACACACACTTAACCACAAGTTATAGGAGCAGGTATGCTTCTTTTTTCTTGCACACACACACTTAAGCAAAAGTTATTTTAGCACGTGTGTATCTGACACACAAGCATACTACATCCCAGGTTCTTAAAGCAGGTATGAATCTGCTGTACACACACACACTGAACCCCAAGTTCCTCAAGCATGTGTGTATATCTCACACACACACACTGAACCACATGTTATTAAATCAGGTGTGTATCTCACACACACACACACACACATACTGAACCCCAAGTTATTAAATCAGGTGTGTATCTCACACACACATACTGAACCCCAAGTTATTAAATCAGGTGTGTATCTCACACACACACACACTGAACCCCAAGTTATTAAATCAGGTGTGTATCACACACACACACACACACACTGAACCCCAAGTTATTAAATCAGGTGTGTATCACACACACACACACATACTGAACCCCAAGTTATTAAATCATGTGTGTATCACACACACACACACATACTGAACCCCAAGTTATAAATCAGGTGTGTATCTCACACACACACATACTGAACCCCACGTTATTAAATCAGGTGTGTATCTCACACACACACATACTGAACCCCAAGTTATTAAATCAGGTGTGTATCTCACACACACACATACTAAACCCCAAGTTATTAAATCAGGTGTGTATCTCACACACACACATACTGAACCCCAAGTTATTAAATCAGGTGTGTATCACACACACACACACACATACTGAACCCCAAGTTATTAAATCAGGTGTGTATCTCACACACACATACTGAACCCTAAGTTATTAAATCAGGTGTGTATCTCACACATACTGAACCCCAAGTTATTAAATCAGGTGTGTATCTCACGCACACATACTGAACCCTAAGTTATTAAATCAGGTGTGTATCTCACACACACATACTGAACCACATGTTCCTCAAGCAGGTATGTATCTCACACACACATACTGAACCCTAAGTTATTAAATCAGGTGTGTATCTCACACACACATACTGAACCACATGTTCCTCAAGCAGGTGTGTATCTCACACACACATACTGAACCATATGTTATTAGAGCAGGTGTGTATCTCACACACACACATTTACAGTTACAGCAGGAAAAATATCTCACTCTCTCTCTCCTCACTCTCTCTCTCTCTCTCTCTCTCTCTCTCTCTCTCTCTCTCTCTCTCTCTCTCTCTCTCTCTCTCTCTCTCCAGTCTGATGATGCTCCCTCTCCCCAGCCGACTCCCTCTAAACCTCCTGCTCTTCAGGCCCTGCCCCCTCCTCTTCAGACCACGCCCCCTGCTCCTCAGGCCCAGCCTCCTCCCCAGTTGACCCCCGTCCCCCCCTCCAGCCTGACGCAGGAGTCTCTGATTCGTCAGCAGCTTCTGGCCAAACAGAAGCAGCTGCTGGAGCTTCAGCAGAAGAAGATTGAGCTGGAGCTGGAGCAGACCAAAGCCCAGCTGGTAGGAACACGTGTGTCTCATTTCCTATTCCTCTGTTGGTCCCTGAAGGCATCCACGTGTCAGAAAATAATCTCTTGTTTATGATACTTACGGTGCGTTCAATACGGACCCAAAGCTATTTTGGCCTAGCGTTAGTCCCACAAGTTTCCAGTGATTTAAAGTTCCCCTACCTAAGTCCTCTCTGTTGTTGTTGTCTAAGTCCTCTCTGTTGTTGTTGTGTAACTCCTCTCTGTTGTGTCTTCAGATGGGGGGCTTTGTGATGCCCCCTGCAGTCCCGGTGAAACCCGGCCCTCCAGCTGCTCCGGGGGTCCGTCCCTGGCTGCCCCCCCCTCAGCCCGACCCCAAACCCCCCACCAGGGACCCCCGTCTGAACAGAGCCGCCGGAACCCCCACCGGGAAGAAAGAAGGCCACGCCCACACAGGAAGTGCTGCTGGGACACCGGAGAAACCCCCACGACCCGAGAAGCCCCGGACCCCCCGAAAAGAGGCGCCAAAACCCCCCACCACCACTTCCTCCTCTCCCACCACGAAAAGCGTCCAGATGAAACCGAAACCGGCGGAAAACGAGACCAAAAAGGACCCCCGTTTGAAGAAGAGGGGAGGTGGGGCCGTCAAAGAGGAGGAGCTTAAGAAGAAGAAGGAGGAGCCTCTGAGAGGGGGCGGCAACAAAGGGAAGCTTCTGAACGGATCGAAACACGACGAGGAGAAGATGGAGTTCAAAGCGGGGGGCAACGCTCGCACCCACGCCAGGAAACGCTCCCGCTCGCCCCCCGTCTCGCCCCCGAAGAGGAAGGAGCGCCGCCGGACGCGGAGCAGCTCCCTGTCCCCGCCCCCCCCCCTTGCACAAACCAGGAAAAACCCCCCGACGGGAACCAGAACACGGCAAGAAGAAGAGCCAATCGGAGAGCAGGAGGTCCAAGAGGCCGGTGGAGGACCCCCCGCACCCCCCCCACTCCCCCCGGGGCCACGACGGGGCCAAGGAGGGCAAGGATGGCCCGGCCCCCCCCCACCGCTGGAGGAGCGGCTGGGAGGAGAACAAGCAGTGAGTCAACACTTTATTCAAAACTTTATTTATAACTTTAGTATGTCACAGATATAAGATTCAATAAGATGGAACTTTATTATTATTTATGCAACACAATAAAACCGATGACATCGTGCAAGGAGAGTCTGTAATGTGATGTATAAATAAATAATGAGTGAGTTGCAAACAGATGTTCTGGATGTTCTTTCCAAAGTTCAGGTGTGTAACAGTCTGTGATGAAACTGTGTTCCTTATTGACCCCCCTCTGTGTTTCCTCTCAGCCCGAAGCCTGAGGACCCCCACCTGAAGCCGGCTACCCCCCGTCACAAACCCTACAGCGCCCCCACCCGCCCCCAGACGCCTCGCACCCCAAAGCACCGCCTCAGTGTTGACGCCAACATGCAGATCCCCGAGGTCCTAAACTCCGCCTCCAAGAAGGACCTGCTCAGGAGGGTGAGTCCCAAACACCCCCACCCTCTACAAAATGAAAGCTTATTTACCGTATCGACCCCAATATAATCTGAAAACGAGGGGCCGTCTTGTAATCAGGGTCAATACGGTAGATCTCATGGGGAGAGGATTTATGTATGTATACCCTCTGTGTGTGTGTATGTATACCCTGTGTGTGTGTGTGTATACCCTGTGTGTGTGTGTGTATACCCTCTGTGTGTGTGTATACCCTCTGTGTGTGTGTATGTATACCCTCTGTGTGTGTGTGTGTATGTATACCCTCTGTGTGTGTGTGTATGTATACCCTCTGTGTGTGTGTGTATGTATACCCTCTGTGTGTGTATACCCTCTGTGTGTGTGTATACCCTCTGTGTATACCCTCTGTGTGTGTGTATACCCTCTGTGTGTGTGTATACCCTCTGTGTGTGTGCGTGCATGTATATCCTCTGTGTGTGTGTAATCACAACAGAGTGGAGAAAGACATTTCCCTGTGAGGCATTAATAAAGTATGTCTTCTTGTGCTGTATATATATTAATATCTGTTTGCCCCCCCCCCCCTGCACTGCAGGCCAGTAAGCGTCTGGAGAGCGGAGAGATTTCTCAGGAGGACTTCCTGAACATGGCCCACCAGATCAAGCACTTCTTCCAGTACCAGGAGGAGAAGCAGCGCCCCGACAGCTGGGATCCCCTCAGTGGTCTCCCCAGACCCCCCCTCACCTCCGGGGCCCCCAGACCCCCCCTCACCTCCGGGGGCCCGCGACCCCCCCCAGCTGCCATGGACGCCGCCGAGCTGTCGTACTACGAACACAAGTTGAAGCTGAGGAAGACGCAGGTGAACCGGAGGGCGGCCGGAGAGGAGTGGGAGGGAGACGAGAGTCCAGAGGAGGCGGAGGGGGAGGGGGAGGGGGCCCCGCCGCCGCCGCCGCCGCCAGGGAAATACAGCCGGGGGCCCCGAGACAGACCAGGTGAGTGAGGGGGGGGACCAGGTTTACCATTAGACCGGACAGATGGGAAAGACTGTGTTTATAGAGAGGTGAGACCCTAGGTCACATGACCAATAGAGAGGTGAGACAGGTCACATGACCAATAGAGAGGTGAGACAGGTCACATGACCAACAGAGAGGAGAGACAGGTCACATGACCAACAGAGAGGTTCCTGTAGCTCCCCCTGAAGCTGCTGTTCCCTCGAGAACAAAGGGTTTCTCCAGAGGGTTTAGGAAAATATCTGGAAATAAGATCTGTGGAAAAAGAACCTGTTTGATAAATGCACGTTTTGTTCAGCCGGATAATCTCCACATGTCTACCCTACTTTTATAATGTTTGAATCATAAATCTAAAGTCCAGAAGCAAAATGCTAACGTGATGCTATAAAGGAACTACAGCTGAGTACAGCAGCACGACTTCAACGTCACACCAACTTCAGATCCATATCAAACACACAGATTCTAAATGGTACGAGTTGAAGCGTTTGTTTGAACAGTTTGCAGGAGGCAGGTACTTGCTTTCAAGCAGAACAGGGCAAACTAACTTAGAGGAGTGTTCACGTGTTCGGCGTAATGACGAAGAGGTAAAATAAAGAGTAAGAATATGAAACAAAGTGTTTTAAAATGTGCTCAGCAGGGGAGAGGAGGAGTAAGGAGGCGGAGGAGCCGCGCCCCCCTCTCGGACCAATGATCGAGGAGTATAATCACGGGAAGGAATTCCCAACTCTGAAGAGTCTGCCGGGACTACGATTCAGGAGGAGAGCAGACCCCCGGGAGCCCAGTGAGTCACACGCACACACGCACACGCACACACTAACACACACACTGACTCACACACTGACACTTACGGAACGTCTACACAGCAGCGTTAAAAAAATCTTGAAACGCTTCTGCCCATTCACTTTGAATGGGGTGACGTCACTTTCCCTCACTTTTCGCCGAAATGCATTGTGGGCAGGCGAGCGGAGATTTTCAGGATTTTGAGGATTCAAAGTTGAACAATGTTCAACTTTTGAGGCTGAGGTGGAAGCGTCAGCCAATCAAATCCCGTGTACGCAAATCTGACAGTTCAAGCTCTAGCCAATCAAACGGCGTGTATGCTGGGAGAGACATACCACAGGTCATTTCCTCATATTCCAAAAAATGGAGGAGAAATTAGCGGTAGGGAATCAATCACCCGGTGCTTTATGACCAGACCTACCGGGATATAAACCGGAGGAGCCAGGCATGGAGGGAGGTGGCAGAGACAGTGGTAGGTTTTCGCCTGTTTTGGGGAGTTTATATCCAGTTTACTTCGGGCTTTTTTGCTTCGTATGTCGCGGGTGGGAGATTCATGTGATTGGTTGCTCGCAAAAAATCCTCAAGCTTCAGATACGCCCACCTCCAAGATTTTTTTTAACGCTGCTGTGTAGACGTACCGTTACACACACACTGACTCACACACTCACACACTGACACTGACTCACACACTCACACTCACACTCACACTCACACACACTGACTCACACACACACACTGACACTGACACTGACACTGACACTGACACACACACACACACACACACACACACACACACACACACACACACACACACACACACACACACACACACACACACACACACACACACACACACACACACACACACACACACAATTCAATGGGAGAAACCCCCAGTTACTTTTATGAGATTATTGTGCATGATTCCTCAAATCAAATGTCAGTCCTGACCCTAAGGTGTGATGGTATTGAGTAACTCTGTGTGGCCCCCCAGCTGAGAGAGAGTGGACGTCTCCTCTGATGGAGCGGCAGCGCCTCAGTGAGGAGAAGAGTGGGTACGAGGCCCCCAGGAGGTACGACCCCCGCCGCCCCGAGGCCCCCCCCCCCTCCCAGAGCCCTGCTGAGGGGCTCCGGTTTGAGCGGGAGCGCCTTTCCCCCCCCGAAGGACCCCGAAAGCCCCGCCCCCCGCTTCGAGAGCCCCACCAGTGAACACTCTGACGACGGGCCCCTGGAGGCCCCCCCCCTCTCACCTGCCCCCTCCCCCTCCTAAATCCATCCTAAAGGCCCCTATCCGCCCGTTGACCTCCGTTCGACACAGCGACTCCCCAGGACACACCCCCCCTCAGGACGGAGGTCCCCCCCCCCCACCACAACGCTACGACGGAGGGCCCCCAGCTCCCACAAACAGGCCCCCGGCGGGATGGTTCGAGGGAGGGGTGCGGTACGACGACCCCCCACGCTTCGATGGGCCTCATCAACCAAGCCGGTTTGAAGCTGGGGGGCCACACCACTTTGATGGCCCCCCCCACCCTTCTCACGGGCCAATGAGAGGCTTCGAGGGGCCCCCCCCACCCTCAGGGCCCCGGGAGGTTTGACGGCCCCCCTAGATTCGACGGCCCCGGTCACTTCGAAGGACCAATGAGACGATTCGATCCCCCCGGCTCTGGTCCAATGGGCTTCCAGCAGCGGCCCCTGCACTTCGACGGCCCCCCAAACCAGATGAGGTTTGACGGCCCGATGCGGTTCGATTCCCCCGGGCAACAGGGCCCCAGATTTGACCTCGGGCCCCACCAGGGGGGGCCCCCGCACTACGAGGGCCCCATGAGGTTCGGCCCCCAGCACAACATGCAGCCCCCGATGAGGCCGATGGCGCCGCCCCTTTACGACGGACCCCTGGCCCCCCAGCAGAACTTCAATATGGCCCCCCAGCCCATGAACCCCCAACAGTTCCCCATGGCCTTCCCTCAGCCGGGGGGGAACTTCAACCTGCAGCCGACCTACAGCCAGCCGGGCCCCGGGAACTTCTACAACCCCGCGGCCCCCGCCATGCAGCAGCCGGTCAGTACATCACATTCAATAACACCCACTACATTTACAACCTTCGGAACATTTAGAAAATGTAGTAGCATTAGCATTAGCTGTAGTAACAGCGTTAGCAGCGTTAACAGTATTATTAGTAGCATTAATGGTAACAGTAGCATTAATGGTAACAGTAGCATTATCGGTAGCAGTAGCATTAACGGTAGCGTTAGCAGTAGCGTTAGCAGTAGCGTTAGCAGTACTCCCTGCTCACTGCCTCCTGTGTTCCAGATGCTGGGGGCCCTCGGTCAGCCCTTCCTGCCTCAGAGCTCCGGGCCTTACGTTCAGAGTGAGTCTGGTTTTAACACATTATCTCTCCTGATTTTATCCCATAATCTCGTCTGATTCATCTCGTGTCTGTTTGCTTCGTCCCTGCAGCCCCGGCCCCCCCCCCAGAGAACCACTTTGGTCAGGTTGATGTGAACGACCTGCTCACTAAACTCATCTCCAACGGCATCATCAAACCCTCGCTGCCCGACGCCCCCTCCAACAAAGGTGAGTGAGATTATAAATCCAAACCATTAGTTAAACATCAGCTGATGTCTTTTCAAAGACTCAAAGGTGTTGTCATCAGATGCTCAGCAGCGACAGAGTAGAAAGGGCAACTCTTCTGACCTGAGCTCCTCCAGCAATGAGACGCATCATACAAGTCTTTAAACATGTAAATAGAATATGATGTGTACGAGAACACAATATAAAATTACATGATGTACATTAAGACCCCATTTACACGGGAACGAAACGGGTTGTATCTGCATAGTTTCTCTTGCGTATAGCCCTTTCATTTACACCAGGCCGTAACAAAACGATGGAAACGGACGCCGCAAACGATAACGGGTCCCAAGGTGGATAGATCTGCAGACGGAGTGCTCTGGGGGGTCAAACGTTCCCGTGTAAAGGCAGCCTAAGACAACTGGGGGGTTTCTCCCACTAACTGGGGAGTTTCTAACTGGGGGGGGGGGCTTTCTCCCACTAACTGGGGAGTTTCTAACTGGGGGGGGGGCTTTCTCCCACTAACTGGGGAGTTTCTAACTGGGGGGGGCTTTCTCCCACTAACTGGGGAGTTTCTAACTGGGGGGGGGGGCTTTCTCCCACTAACTGGGGAGTTTCTAACTGGGGGGGGCTTTCTCCCACTAACTGGGGAGTTTCTAACTGGGGGGGGCTTTTTCCCATTAACTGGGGGGGCTTTTTCCCATTAACTGGGGGCTTTCTCCCATTAACTGGGGGGTCTCTCCCATTAACTGGGGGTTACTCAGAGTTTTTCCTTGTCCGATGTGAGGGTCTAAGGACAGAGGGGGTCGTATTCCTTACAAACTGTTAAGTCCACTGAGAGAAATGTAAAATGTGTGATATTGAGCTCTATAAATACACTTTGATTGATTGAGATGTTATTGTCTCTCTCCAGAGCCTGTGCTGGTTCTCCCTGCAGCGCCCCCTGTGGCGGTGGAGGAGGAGGAAGAGGAGGCGGAGGAGGAAGAGGACGAAAACCTCCCAGACCTCACCGGCTTCAAAGTGGACCACATGAAACTGTGAGTGCTTCTCCTTGTGGTCAACTAACTGAAATAATGCTTCCATGTCGTCTGTCTTAGGGAAGAAATCTGTGAACCAGTATTTAGTTTGTTAAATATCACACGCGTCTCAACAGGCGGTATGAGTGTGTGTGTGTGTATAAATATCACACGCGTGTCTCAACAGGCGGTACGAGTGTGTGGTGCTGCGGCTGTACTCGGGGAACCAGTGCTGTCTGTGCAGCATGAGGTTCACGGCCAAGCAGACGGACCTGTACGCAGATCACCTGGACTGGCACTTCAGACAGAACCACGCAGGAAAGGTGGTCGGGAAGAGGATCACACACAGACGCTGGTACTACGGACTGAGGGTGAGCACACACACACACATACACACACACACATACACACACACACACATACACACACACACACATACACACACACACACACCCACTGAGACACACACAGACGCTGGTACTACCGACTATCTCAGTGTGTGAGCACGCACACACACATACACACACAGACGCTGGTACTACGGACTGAGACACACGCACACACTGAGGTCACACACACACACGCACACACTGAGGTCACACACACACACTGAGACACACGCACACACTGAGGTCACACACACAGACGCTGGTACCATGGACGGAGGGTGATCCAAAATATTAGAACAATTTCGGAAAATTGTCTGCAAAATATTTTTAAAAATTTCTGAATTTCTTTATTTTCCAAATATTTATTAAATTCTTTTGGGGGACCTTTTTGAAACGTGTGAAAAAGATGTTGTATCAGGTAGGATGTCTGAAACATGTTTTAAATATGAAGCACACATTAACGCTGACCCTCCCCAGGACTGGGTGGAGTTCGAGGAGATCGCGGATCTGGAGGAGCGAGCGAAGAGCACCTTCTTCGAGAAAGTGAACGAGGAGGAGGTGCAGAAGAGTCAAGCCGCCGCCAAGGAGAAGGAGTTCCAGAGCGTGAAGGCCACCAAGGACGCCGTGGGGGAGGTCAGACACCTTTATCCATTATTAGTCAAAGTCAGGTCCATTTGGGGCAGGGGGGAACGGTGAGAGGGAGAGAGGGAGAGAGGGAGAGAGGGAGAGAGGGAAGGAGGGAAGGAGGGAAGGAGGGAAGGAGAGGAGAGAGAGTTATTACTGTTGTATACCAGACCATAAAACGTTAATGGTCAGATCAAGTCTGAAATGCTCCTTGCATCCCAGCAGCTCACTGTAGTGATCTCCATCAGATGGTAGCAGTTCAGATTCTCAGTCAGAGCATGCTTTGGGTCCCAGGTGATGCTGCTGGAGCCTCTCAGGTTATTATGGGATGTGAGTCAGAAATCTGCTCAAAGACAGTTGGTCACCCTGTCAGAGACTTTCTATCAGGTGGAGCAGGTTAGATTTTAAAGCTGTTCACAAACACTTGGTAGTGTTTCAGTACTGTAGAACAGACACAATGAGATATGTAAAGAACAGCATGTATCATCTGCTTCATCACCTCTGACCCCCTGCCCCCCCCCCCCCCCCAGCTGTGTGAGATCTGCCAGGAGCCGTTTGAGACGTACTGGGTGGAGGAGGAGGAGGACTGGTTCCTGAAGGACGCCGTCAGGGTCGACGACAAGGTCAGAGCAACAACTCAGAAACACAATACACGGGGAGAGTATCCTGCAAATCTCCAAAATATTGAGCATGACGCTATCGGAATCATTTTGGTTAAATGTAAAGAGTATTTCCAAATGAGTTCACTGAAAACATTTATTACAATCTGTATTATTTTAGTTCAACATTCATATTTTCATCAATTTTTTCCCGGCTAAGTTTTTGAAAATATTAGCTGACCTAATTAAAATGGTCACATGTACAAATATTCCCCCAAAAACCATAAAATATTGGTCACATGTTCTGATATTCCCATGAAAACATGAAATATAATAATAACCCTTTGTTCCAACTCTCTCCACAGAACTTCCACCCCGCCTGTTTTGAAGATTATAAAAACGTAAGTAACAGAGAAATAGATAAATAAACAACATAATAAGTAACCCTGGATGCTGATTGGTCGTGACCTCTTGTCTCCTCAGACGTCGTCGTACATGGACGTGACGCCGTCGCCCAGCAAGCTGCTGACGGAGCACCCGCTGACCGCCTTCATTAAGACGGAAGAAGAAGAGCAAGGGGGCAGGACTTCCTGTGCGTTCGCCAAAGTGAAACAGGAAGTGGCCGAGCCCATGGCGTGTTCACTTCCTGTGGTGAAGAGCGAGGAGGCGGAGGTTTTAACGGCGGCGTGTCCGAGTGAGGAGGGCCCGAGTGAGGAGGGCCCGAGTGAGGAGGGCCCGAGTGAGGAGGGCCCGAGCGAGGAGGGCCGAAACGAGGCCGTTCTGAGCGAGGGCCGAAACGAGGCCGTTCTGAGCGAGGGCCGAAACGAGGCCGTTCTGAGCGAGGTCCGAAGCGAGGACGCGGGCCGAAACGAGGACGCGGGCCGAAACGAGGACGCGGGCCGAAGTGAGGCCGAGTGACGCTGCTTTTCTGATTTTAAGGAAAAGCGCTTTTACATAAACTTGAATACGTTTTGGTATTTCGGATCCTGCCGTTGTTTCTGTGAACTCAAGAAGTCTGTTTGTGGCTCAGATGTAAATGATTTAATTTATAAATTAAAGTATTTTTTGGTACCTCTGGTGTAACAGTGATTGTGATTTACCGTTGATTTAACGTCGGGGAACTTCCTGTCAGGTAAGCATCGCCGAGGAGCCACTTCCTGTTTCCTTTTCCTTCAATCAAGAGTGTGTGACGCCAAGGTTTTCAAAATAAAGAATGAGTTCATTTACAGTTTCTCTGTTTTCGAGTCTTTTATTTCAACTGAACGCAGTTTCTTGAATTCAAACAGAAGCTGTTTGATGTTAAAATGTCTCAACAATAGTTTTAAATATCCCAAAAATGCTGTTAGAATACAAATAAGAAAGATTCTCAAAGATTCCAGGTCGTCCACGAGGAAATACCAAGAAACAACACGGGGTGTTTCTCAATGTCGAGGACGCTTCCTTGGTAGGACATGTCTTCCGAGTCAGGTCCATCAAAGGCTAGGCAAGAATCCTTCCTTTCATTCGGCGAACGAAGAATGGAACAGGCTAGCAAGTGTGCAGGTGTGCGTCATATGCAGTGGCGGCTCCAGGGTATGGCTGGGGTAGGCTACAGCCATACCAAGAAACAACACGGGGTGTTTCTCAATGTCGAGGACGCTTCCTTGGTAGGACATGTCTTCCGAGTCACAATCCTTCCTAGCCTCGGAAAACGAAGAATGGTGGAACAGGCTAACAGGTGTGCGTCATATGAGAGGCCCTAAATGGAGCGCGATTTCCGCCAAAGATTTGGGAATTGGTCCGTGCGCAAAGCATTGTGGGGATTATAAGACCGTGGAGGATACACATGTGCAGCCTCAAAAAATGTCGCTACGAAGGACGCCGGCTTCGGTAGAATTCCAAGCATCCTGGACATTGGAACGGTCCTTCGGCGGGACTCGATGACGTAGCATGCTTGAAATAGTGGCTCTGGAGCATCCTTCCTCCGGTGTGAAAGCGCCTATTGCAAATAATAACAAATTAGAAAGAAATACAGATGACATAAAATACAGATGTCAGTATTCTGAGGCTCTGAGCCATTTCTTTTCCTCACTGACGGCAAAAAAACTCCGACATTATACAATTTAAAATAAAAGAGATCGGGTTAGGCTGAGGGTAAGATATTGAGTAAGAACATGTTTTTATGAACCACACAGCTTCTGGTCTTCCAAGACCCGACCGGACAAAAAGACGTGGTGCAGGCACGAAACATACTACCAATAGAAATACATTGCATTTTAAATCGTTCTGTGTGACACGAAAAAAAGGTGAAAATCGTGTTGGTGAACACGAATCAATAGATTAAATTAATTTAACACGAAATGCCGTGAGACTGGGTTGCATGAAATGGCTTAGCCCCACCATGAAGAATTATGTTAAAGTAAGCAAAGAAAGTCCGCCAACTCGCGGCGAGTAAATTGCACAAGGACTCTGAGGGTTAGATAGTCTCATCTCAGTGGGTCTCAAACGGTTTGATCACAATTTATGTAAACACATATTTCCAAGGCACTCCTTTATAATTATTGGGATCAATATAAACAGGTTTGAAATCATTCCAATGTATACTATAGGACAGTAAACCAAAAATATCATTTAAAACTGGAGAGTTTTAAAAAAGTTCATAAATAAATGTTAAGGTAAAATAAGATATGAATGAACAACAAAAATAAAATAAGTTACATGTATTTGTTATTGGCTATGGGTTATTGGTTATGTTCACATACTTATTTGATTATTAAAATGTAAACCGATCTTTTTCAGATGGGTGTTTAGAGTTCCCCTAGATCAGGTCTCTAGTCATTGGGCGCTCAAAGTGCATCAGATTGAAGCATTTTACTTTCAAAAGACACCAACATGTCCCTGCCGGCCCTGCCTGTTGTACGTTGTATCTTTGTAACGCTAAACTGATGTAATCTGTCTTGAAGACACGCTTTGATCTGCCTCGGAGTGAGCAACCCGTTTCTCCTGTTGTTCGTTAGAAGCCTGTATTCTATTTGACTTCTTGTGTTAGGCAGGATGTATATATATATCTGCAAAGGTTCATTTGGTTACGTGGGTTTGTCTGGCCGCCTCCTTTCAAAAAACACGTAATTACCAAACACCTGTCTCATTGTCCATTTCTTTGACCTAACTCAATATTTATTTATATGTGTGCGTGTGTGTGTGTGTGTGTGTGTGTGTGTCTGTGTGTGTCTCTGTGTGTGTGTGTCTCTGTGTGTGTGTGTGTCTCTGTCTCTGTGAGAGTGTGTGTATGTGTGTGTCTGTGTGTGTGTCTCTGTGTGTGTGTGTCTCTGTGTGTGTGTGTGTGTGTCTGTGTGTGTGTCTCTGTGTGTGTGTGTGTCTGTGTGTGTATGTCTCTGTGTGTGTGTTTGTGTGTCTCTCTCTGTGTGTGTGTGTGTGTCTGTGTGTGTGTGTGTGTGTGTGAACAAACAAACATCACTCTTTCATTTGAATAGTAATGTTTATTAGTGTTTAATAAACATCACAGAAACATATTATAATAAATCATAAATAATATCTTCATGTTGGAAGAAAATATAATTTTACATTAAAAACAAAAACGAATCAAATAATACAGTTGACTTAATATTTGGTTCTTATTTTTACATAAAAGCATGAAATATAAAAGTATCTGTTCTTTTTCTCCCGTGTCTTCAAATTGTCATTAAAGGTGGGGTAGGTAATTTTGGAGAAACCGGCTCGAGATCGCTAGAATTTGAAAATACACAACGGGAGAAAATCTGCCACTTCCTTACAGAGCCCCTCCTCCAACACACACGAACGCGCACATGACCAATGAGGGCACGAGATAAGTTTGTGCACAGATGGAAGGCTGACAGGCAGGTAGGCCATCCAGTTATTTTAGCCGGGCCGGCTCAGATGATTGGTCGTGCTTTTTACAGTATTACGGTTTCCACAGATGACATTTATTTATGGATTTGTTGTCAAAGCACTTAAGATATTCATTGCTATCTGGATGTTAAGAGCATTCCATGGAATATAACAAAAAGTGTATCTCGAGCCGGTTTCTCAAACTTACCTACCCCACCTTTAACATGAATAATATTTCTGTAAAGTTTTTTTATTAAATAATGTAGCTTCTTCTTCTTCACCTCCACAGCCGGTAGACTCCCAGAGCGATGGCCAGGCAGGAGAACACGGTCGCTGCAGGGAACACATCAACGCTCATCATTATCATAACTTTATTATATCATTTAACATTTTATTGGAAATATTACAGATCAGGAAACCCGTCAATACTTTCTCAGGGTGCATGCAGGAATCCTGAAGTGACATGTAAGACCTTTTAAGAGCTTTTTTAAGACCCTTTCCATACATTTTAAGACCTCATCGCCACTTGGAGTTCTAACCGGTTACCTTGGCGACACACTTTACCTCACATTGACTATATACAGTATGGATTGTCCTTCCTCCTTATCTTCCAACCATTTGGACGCAGACTTGCATTTCCCCATAACGATGTTGCTTAGCAACCGGCGTAAACGGAGTTTCGCGCACTATCAAGCAGTGAGCGTGCGATGTCCTGTTCAGATGACGTCCAATCCAACGGGATGCCATAAATAAACTACACAGAATCACACTACACACCTACGCAATGATTACATTCAGGCAGACTGTAGAATACAACCTCTTTGGACAATTTATATACTTATTGAAAACTAGCTGCAATATGTAATACCTTGGAAAATGCCCTTTAATACTTTTTAAGACCCCGCGGACCCCCTGTGTGAGTCCTTACTGTAGAGATTAAGAAACGTAAACATGGTCATTTAACGTGAATACAGAATTTCACGAAAGATATTTTCACAATATCTCAAAATAAAAACTCATAGTATTTGTAAAATAATAATGTTTTATTATTAGGAGCGTAAAGTCATTATCTAACGAGAATTATACGAGAGAGAAAAGCCTCGTATTACGTGAAGCAAAAACAAGTATAAAGTCGTATTTAAATTGCAAATATCCGAGGGAACGTCATTATATTATATTTCAGTATATATGAAGTACACAGTATCTGAGTACATGCTTCATGCTGTATACACAGTATATATGAAGTACACAGTATCTGAGTACCTGCTTCATGCTGTATACACAGTATATATGAAGTACACAGTATCTGAGTACATGCTTCATGCTGTATACACAGTATATATGAAGTACACAGTATCTGAGTACGTGCTTCATGCTGTATACACAGTATATATGAAGTACTACAGTATCTGAGTACGTGCTTCATGCTGTATACACAGTATATATGAAGTACTACAGCATCTGAGTACCTGCTTCACGCTGTATACACAGTATATATGAAGTACACAGTAGAGTACCCGGTAGAGTACCCGGTAGAGTACCCGGTAGAGTACACGGTAGAGTACCCGGTAGAGTACCCGGTAGAGTACACGGTAGAGTACCAGGTAGAGTACACGGTAGAGTACCCAGTAGAGTACACGGTAGAGTACACAGTAGAGTGCACAGTAGAGTGCACAGCAGAGTGCACAGTAGAGTGCACAGCAGAGTACACAGTAGAGTACCCAGTAGAGTACCCAGTAGAGTACCCAGTAGAGTACACAGTAGTACACAGTAGAGTACACAGTGTACCTGCGAGGTAGCGGACGGTCTCCAGCTTCAGAGACTCCAGCAGAGTACCCAGTAGAGTACACAGTAGAGTACACAGTAGAGTACACAGTAGAGTACACAGTGTACCTGCGAGGTAGCGGACGGTCTCCAGCTTCAGAGACTCCAGCAGAGTACACAGTAGAGTACACAGTAGAGTACACAGTAGAGTGCACAGTAGAGTACCCAGTAGAGTACCCAGTAGAGTACCCAGTAGAGTACCCAGTAGAGTACCCAGTAGAGTACACAGTGTACCTGCGAGGTAGCGGACGGTCTCCAGCTTCAGAGACTCCAGCAGAGTACACAGTGGAGTACACAGTAGAGTACACAGTAGAGTGCACAGCAGAGTACACAGTAGAGTACCCAGTAGAGTACCCAGTAGAGTACCCAGTAGAGTACCCAGTAGAGTACACAGTAGTACACAGTAGAGTACACAGTGTACCTGCGAGGTAGCGGACGGTCTCCAGCTTCAGAGACTCCAGCAGAGTACCCAGTAGAGTACACAGTAGAGTACACAGTAGAGTGCACAGTAGAGTACACAGTAGAGTACCCAGTAGAGTACCCAGTAGAGTACACAGT